CGGGAACCCCAGGTCGAAATGCCGGCCCCGTGACCCCAAACCACATCTCGAGGGGGAAAGGCTCTCGTGCCGATTCCCCTTCCAGCTGCCACCTTCTGGGCTACAACTTGCTACAGTACGGCACTGCGGCAACTGCCCTCTCACCGTGCTGCGTGTACATGCACATGCGCTTCGTATGGGCCCCCTTCGTATTCAGCAGGGTACCTCCACGGAGTTCACTGGCTGGTCAATACCGTTTCTAGTCATTCACATCTTCATGGTGGCCAGGAGCACTGGGGAATTGCTTCTACTACGTATCGGCAAATCCTCAACTCTCCTGTTCCTTTTCTTTCTGAGCACTTTCGATGGCTGTCCTTTCCTTTTTTCATGAGTCAAAAAGAGGCGCCCGGCCGGTCCAATTACACGCGATGCCATGCGTGAACAACTCCAAGCCCCCCGGCACGGCGATTGCCGTATTGGTCCATGGGAGAGCGTCTATTGTCCGTTGTCTTAAAATTGGCTGCTTGGCAGGCTGTCTGTGGTCTTTTTCTCTTGCCTCGTCGAGCAGTGGGTTGTTTCACTTCATCGTGCATTCTTCCAAGTCTCTTCATCTTCCTTCTCTGCCATACAATGTGAATTGTTTGCATCATGCATTGGTTTCTCTTGGTTTCCAACCATGATCGGATACTTGCTTCTGGATCTCATCCACCCTTCAAGTGATATTTTTGGATTTTGCCTCCCGAGTTTAGCTCCGGAGTCAGCCGCCATGGCCGCCTCCTCTGCAGTTACCGAGGTGTAGTAGTATTACTGAAGCTGTCACGCCAAGCATCTACAGTTCTGGTATCAACGGCGCCCCGAGTCAGGGCTTGCTCATCTGATTTGATGGCCCTTTTTTTTTTCCCTTCTTCAAGCTCCCACTTATTCACAAGCACCGCCAGCTCATCTAGCCTTGCATGCGCGGCACCGCAGCGATAAGAATAGCTTCTTTTCTTCTCTTTTCTCATTTTTTTTTCGCCTTAACACGAGATTGCCGATGGCATGATATGATTTCAAGATGATGATGATATGGAAGATACGGGGGAACCCGCTGCGCTAAGGTGGGTGGGTGGTCGGCACTTTTTGCAGTGATGTTTCTAAATTTACATCTTTTTCTTTTTCTCTTTCTTTTTTCTTCGTGTCTTTTCCTGTCGTGTGAGTAGGTATCCTGGCTACTACTACCAATGTAAGTAAGTAAGTAGATGATCAGATTCTCTCCCCCAGCCAAGTCTTGTGCGGGCATGTGAGGCTTTTCGGAAGAAGAATTGTTCGTATTCCACGAACACTGGGCCTGTCCTGACCTGACCTGTCTTGTCCTGCTAGTAATGCATGCGCCTTCATCCTTCTAAGTGGACTTGTATGCATTGCGTGTTATCAGGGCGCCTACAAACAAAACCACATCTAAAATTGCTCTTACACCACAAACAGACACATCAGTTCATACGGTTCATACGTTCACACACTCAATCTCAAGGTTCGTCTTTTTTTTTTTTCTTTTCTTTTCTTTTCCATTCGCACCTTCAGCACAGTCACTCACACGTATCTCGGTTGGTGATGGCCGCTGCATACCGTCCCTCTCGTATTCATTTCTAATACGGCCTCACCGCTGAGGGAGGGGGAGTGGGCAACCTGGGCATTGACTCTTTTCATAGCAGGCTTACATGTAACGTAAGGTACCTATCATAGTAGTACTACTCCGTTGCTTGCTCAGTGATCATGTCGGGCATGGCCGCATACGGCTTGATCTTGCAAACCACCTCTAATTGTTCTCTGACCCATGACGAGGTAGATACATACCTACTTGCTTATTATTAGTACCACGAAGTATGATTACTCCCTGGGTGAGAAAAAACCAAAGCAAAGTCGATGAAAAGAAGAGGAAAGCTTCATCTGCTGTTTTTGTGCCCCAAGCCCGTGATCACATCCGTCTGAAACATGCAACTTACTGTCGAGCCACTGTTTTGAATCATCGTCGCGACGACTCACACGAAACACAGCTCGGGCAGCCAAGCCAGCCCTCGCACCCTCTTTCCCTTTCAGCTCTGGCCTCTCCGAATCACTCATTTGACCTTTTTTTTTGTGTGTGTCTTATTAGTATCGGTACAGAAACAGACAAGGAACAAGGGGAGGAAGAAGGGGAAAAGGCTATCCATCTGCTTTCGTCTCCCCTTCCCTTCACCGGTTCACTACTACGACATTGGGGGGGAAGATCGAGATTTTGCTCTTTGCTCCTGCAAGGGCGGGATGAGACAGAGCCGTGGCCGCGGCTTTCCCTTTCTCCCGGCTCGATGAGTTGCGACAAAGGAGGATCTGGAACTTTGGCCATCTTTGCTTCAGAAACACGAAAGACATTGCTCGTACTTGGAGATTTGTCGCCGTATCGAAAATTGAGGGGTATTAGAGGAACGTGCATGCGATCTCGTATGTAGTATGTACAATTCGCTTCAGTTGAAGCAGCAGTACGAAGTACGTAGTACTCCCTTTTGATGATGTTTGTATAGTGGGATTTCGGGTTGCCTCCCGCTGTGATGAGGGTTCCAAGTCGTAAATCTCTCGGCCTTTTGCGGCGGAGCTTTTGTTCGCAGACCATTCAACTCGTCGGTTGTTGTATCATATGAGCGAACGTACATGTTTTGTTATGACTACTACGTACTTCGTAGCTGCGCACACTGCCCGCTCGGGTAACTCGTGGTTGTCCTCAGATAGGCAGTGGTGTCTCAGACAGTGTTTTGACGCAATACTAGAGCCCGACCAACCGGTTGTTGTGGTTGCTTTGTTTGTTTGTTTGTTTGTTTGTTTTCTTCGTCTTTGCCCTTGTGGTTTGCGTCTGGGTTCGTCAAGATCGAGAATTTGGGTTATCGATGTGCAGGATGGGCAGCCGTCAAGTTATCCATCTATCAATGATTACGACGTACCACGGCTTTGACGTTTACGGCCCCTCAGCGCAGTTCACATGTACGAGTATGGGCCTGAAGCACCGTTGAAACCTTTCTAGTACGTACATCTGTTGCATTTGAAGTCTCCGTGCAATCCAGATCCATTATCCAGGTTAGGTGGTGCCCACGATACGATGATGGTACAAAATTCGGTAAGAAGTGGTGATGGCAACCGCCGCATGTAGACAGGACACGAAGCCATCGAGCCGATGCTGCAAGTTCTGTTGGCTGCCATTGAATCAGACTCTCATCTTGCGATATCTGTCGTAGTAGTATGCGGTTGAGAAGCAATCGGCACGACGATCAGCTCGCGTCTGCATTCTTGAGATGGCTTCCAAACTTGTCTGGTTGGTTGCACGGGACACATGGGACGAACTACTATACATGTGCCTCGACAGCGGCAAGGTGCATACCGCGGTGCCCAGTGCGTTCCTTGGATCAGATCACTTGCATCCACGCGCATGGTTGAGCTGTGTCTGCGTCTGATGTTTGCCTCGTTGATGCATGAGAGCTATGTACATGTACCTACATACCAATGTTGATGCTGGTGATGCAGCGTTACTGCCACTGTTACGTAAGCGCCTATATGGTACTTAGTTGTATGAGAATCTCCCCTCTCCAGAGCCGATAATGCTTTGAGGCACCCCCGCTGTAGAGAACGAACATCTCATTCATATCAACTTTTGAGGCTCAGAGTCTTCATAATCACATGGAATCGCATCTCCGCGACCCACTCCTCGAGAGAAAGAACACATTGAAAGGGAAAAGCCACCTTCGTTTAGAGTTTTGGCTGATGGGTTGTCAAACCCCCCATTGTCGCTAATTATAGAAGGTGGCTGGGGCTGGCTTCAGGGTCTGGCCCGGTTCTAAAAGCTGGAGTCCAAGTGCCGTAAAGCAAAGACACATCAGTCAGCCCTGTGGCGAGACAAATTCGACGGCAGGATACGTGTATTGCCTTGTCACCAAACTTCTCTCTTAAATTGTAGATGCCCAGCTTGTGATGCCAGTCCAATGCGGCCGGCTTATAGATAATACCTACCTAGAAGTACAGGAGCACGTCTTACCTGGTACGGAGCCGCTTCCGGCCAATCACCTCGACAACACCAACGCTGCGGAGCGCGCACAACGAGGAAAAGAGGAAAATGCTCGCCGTCTAGTCATTAATCGCATGCAACTCCAACTGCCCAAAGCCCGCGCTCCAATCGCATGACGTCCTTTTGCTCCCACAAAGGCCCAATGCACAGAGGTCGCAGGGACGGGCTCTGCCTGCAGCCCGCACTGCCATGACGAGGTCTCTGGTACGTGGAGCTGTCAAATGGAGCTTTCAGTCAGTCAGGACCTTGCCCAGGCCGGCCAGGTAGAGCTGGCATCGCGCATGCATTTTTTCCGATGCCGCGCTCTCTCTCTGGCTGTTTTTTTTTTTTTTTCTCAGTTGTTTTCTCGTCATCAGCTTCCTGTCCTTTTGTCTTGCGCGCCCGCCTCCCGAAACGCTCGTTTAAACGCCCCGGCTTTGGCGCCCCTGCAAGCCTCCAGTCGCCAGCCATCGTGATACTGCAGCCTCGTTGCCTTTTCCGCAGCTGCTAATATTAATCGCTAACTGTTCCTTGCGCCGCTTCTGCTGCAGGTGCAGGTGCGCGAGCCGCCAGCAAGGACGGAGCTATTTGAGTAACCAACCTGAGCTGCTTCCTGCTTTCTGTGTCTGGCCAGCGTCTTTCCCCTCCTTTGTGTCACCTCTCGCTTTTCCTTGCTCTTCGTCAGATCGTTTTCTGAGCCGTTCCTCTCATCGCTCGTTGCTTCTCCGTGGACGGATTTGATTTCCCTGGGTGGTCTGACTCAGCGTTTTGATCTTCTTCTGCCTACCGTACAAGTCGTGGTGGGATTAGCAAGTCTTTCGCTGGTGACGGCATACCTAACCAGACGAATACTACCCGTCTCACCGGAGAGCAAGCATCAAGCGTCAAGCGTCAAGCGTCAAGCTACAAGCAGACAATCGCAAACCGCCACGACAAAACGCAATCCGAATCAAGACCCGACCCAGTCTCCCGCCCCATGGCCCCTCACAACGACATCGAGGCCTTCCACGAAGTGCTGCGGTCCAGCCGCCGCATCCTCGCCCTCTGTGGGGCCGGCCTGTCAGCCTCGTCCGGCCTGCCCACGTTCCGGGGCGCCGGCGGCTTCTGGCGAAACTACGATGCCACCCAGCTGGCGACGGTGCGGGCCTTCAAGATGGACCCCGGCATGGTCTGGCTGTTCTACGCCTACCGGAGGCACCTGGCGCTCAAGGCAGAGCCCAACAATGGGCACAGGGCGCTGGCTGCGCTGGCCAGGCGGAATACGGACTTTTTGTGTCTGACGCAGAACGTTGACAGTGAGTTTCAGGAGGAGAATCGGTGGGAAGAGGGGTCGGAAGGCCCTTGTATGTATTTGACGGCAATGTTTGTTGGCTAACCATGGAGTTGCCGCCACCACCTAGACCTCTCGCAGCGAGCAGAACACCCCCCATCACAGCTAAAGTGCCTCCACGGCTCCCTCTTCGACATCAAGTGCTCCAACGAGAGCTGCGACTGGATGCAGAAAGGCAACTTCGACGACCCCTTTTGCGCCGCGCTCGCCCCGGCCTCGGTTGACATGCCCAATGGTGAGCCGCTGCCGCTGCTGGACCCGTACCACCGCGTCAAGCACATCACCGAGGACGAGCTGCCCAAGTGCCCGCAGTGCAGCCGCGGCCTGCAGCGGCCGGGCGTGGTGTGGTTCGGAGAGGACCTGGACGCGACCATGATGATGGATATTTCGGCATGGCTACGTGCTGAGCCGCTGGTACGTAGGCTGGGACTCCCCCTTTTCTTTGTTCTCCCTTTCGAGGTAGTGGCTGGGTCTATGCTAATGCTTGCCTCTCGTCTCAAGGATCTCATGTTCGTCATTGGCACCTCGGCGGGCGTTTACCCTGCTGCTGGCTACATCGACAAGGCCCGCAAGCTCGGCGCGCGCATCGTCACCATCAACCTCGAAGCGGAAGACGAGGCGGAGATGTTCAAGGTGAAGCCGGGCGACTTTGCCTTTGGCAAGGATGCCGCCGAAATCCTCCCAGTTCTATTAGAGCCCGTTATCGGCAAACTCAACGAAGATGGCGAGTTCGAGATGCCCTGATGTGACGAATGGCCCAGTTAATGACGTACGCTGGTCCTGATTGCTGTCTGTTGCTGGTGTTTCGAGTTTCCTCCATTTTCTTCTTTTCTTTTCCTGCTTGGATGAAAACATGAGGCACGCATCTACGGTTGGTTATATCATACGTTTGGGTTATAGATCATGACACGCGGATTCACTTGGATGCGGGTCACAGTATGCATGAATAGCGACGACGCAATGAATGAAGTTTTTTATATTGTAATTATGGCTTGAAGACTCACTTTATACTCATGACTTTTACTTTCGCCCAAGCTGACGAGACCACAAACTCCAGTTCCGTCCCATCTCCCAAGTCATCTGTGCAACTCCCCTCCTCAACTCCCCTCTCCAACCGCTTGGATGCCTTTCCCCCTGCTCTTTGGTTGGTCGGCTTGTCTACAATAGGCAACTGATACTCGACTCCCCCCGTCACTCAAGGCGGGGTTGACGATAACCGACTCCCATGGATCTGATCATCATCATCATGACCGCCTCATGCCTCTGCATCCAGGCGGATGCTTTGGGCCCAACTGCAGCCGTCGGCAGAAATGCCGTTAGTGACTTTGATTCAAATGCCTTTCACACTGAGAGGGACATGCCGTATCTGATGCAGATCGCTGACGTCGTCTGCGTTTGTGTGATTTTGCGGTGGTTAATGGCAGAGAGCCGGCGTGCCTGCAGAGCTCTTTTGTGTATACCTTACATACCTACATGTAGGTTACATATCATCGGAGAAGAAGTGCAGTCGCATTGGAGAGGGTCTTGGCCGGAGTCTGCCCCCCCCCCCCCCCCCTCTCGCGAGGGATGTCGTACAAATATGGGACTGCTTCCATGTCTCTTTGCTCGCCGGGTTGATGTTCTCCTTTCGCTCTTTGCTGCCCCCCCCCCCCCCCCCCCTCTCGCGAGGGATGTCGTACAAATATGGGACTGCTTCCATGTCTCTTTGCTCGCCGGGTTGATGTTCTCCTTTCGCTCTTTGCTGGCACATCATCCTTAATACAGTATATATATATATATACATATATATACGTCTGCGAGAGTCAATTGAGGCCATCGTCGCTTCAGTTGGCCTCTCCACCTCGTCAGGATGCGTCTGAGAGCTGGTTCCCTCCTCTCCCTCTCCCTCGCCCTCATCCTGCCCGGTCCCTCGCCCGCACACGCCGCCGCCGCCGCCGCAGCAGCAGCAGCAGGACAAAAGCCGCCCAACGGCCTCTCGTACATCAACCCGCTCATCGGCACGACCAACGGCGGCAACGTCTTCGCCGGCGCAACGCTCCCCTACGGCCTCGCAAAGGCGTCCGCGGACGTAGACGGCCAGAACACGGGCGGCTTCGGCCTCGACGGCAGCAACGTCGTCGGGTTCTCGAGCGTGCACGACAGCGGCACCGGGGGCAACCCTAGCCTGGGCAACTTCCCGCTCTTCCCGCAGGTCTGCCCCGACGATGGCGACGTCAACTCGTGCCGGTTCCGCATCGGCGACAGGAAGCTGCACTACGTGAACGACTCGGTGACTGCGGGGCCGGGATACTTTGGGCTGGAGCTGGAGTCGGGCATCGCGGCGAACATGACTGTCTCGCAGCACGCGGCGCTGTACCGCTTCACGTTTCCGCAGGAGGACGAGGAGGAAGCGAAGACGAAGCATCCGCTGATTCTGCTGGACCTGACGGATCTGTGGCAGAGTCGGCAGAACGCCTCGATCCAGGTGGACGACAAGACGGGCCGCATGACGGGCAACGGCACGTTTCTGCCCAGCTTCGGGGCCGGGTCGTACGCCATGTACTTTTGCGCCGACGTGTTCGGTCCGGCGATCCACGAGACGGGCGTCTGGGTCAACAGCCGCGCGGGCACCGACCCCAAGCACGTCTTCCTGACGCGGGGCTTCAACCTCTTCTTCCTCGAGGGCGGCGGCTTCGTGCGCGTCAAGCCCCCGGGCGACGGCGTCGTGACGGTGCGCATGGGCATCAGCTACATCAGCAGCGAGCAGGCGTGCCGCAGCGCCGAGCGCGAGATGCCGAATCCGCTCGAGGACTTTGATCGGCTTGTCGACGCGGCGCAGAGCGCGTGGACGGAGAAGCTGAGTCCGATTTCCGTCAAGAGCGGCGGCGCGACGGAGGACTTGATGACGAGCTTCTGGAGCGGAGTCTATCGCAACATGATTTCGCCGCAGAACTACACGGGGGAGAATCCGCTTTGGAAGAGCGACAAGCCGTATTTCGACTCCTTTTACTGGTGAGTTGTGCTCACATCTGGCCCCTTTGTCCCAGGAGAGAAGATCTAACGGATGTGTGTGTATGTGTGTGTGTAGCATCTGGGATAGCTTTCGCGTCCAGCATCCTCTGTTGACCATCCTCGACCCCCATGCTCAGACGCAAATGGTAGAGGCCCTGCTCGACATTTACAAGCACGAAGGCTGGATGCCCGACTGCCGCATGTCCCTCTGCAAAGGCTGGACGCAAGGCGGCTCCAACGCCGACGTCGTCATCGCGGATGCCTTTGCGAAGAATCTCAGCACGACCATCGACTGGGAACTCGCCCTGGAAGCCGTCATGGCCGACGCCGAAAACGAGCCGCAGGAGTGGTCGTACCACGGCCGAGGCGGCCTCCACAGCTGGAAGAAGCTCAACTACATTCCCTACCTGGACTTTGACCCGTACGGCTTCGGGACCAACTCGCGCAGCATCTCGCGGACGCTCGAATATGCGTACGACGACTACTGTCTCTCGGAGCTGGCCGGTGGCCTCGGCAGACGGGACTTGCAGGCAAAGTACCAGGAACGAAGCATGAACTGGAAGAACCTGTGGAAGGCGGACCAGACGTCGCTGATTAACGGCACCGACACGGGGTTCAGGGGCTTCTTCCAGCCGCGGTACCAGAACGGAACTTGGGGCTTCCAGGACCCCATTGCGTGCTCTGCGCTGGCTGGGTTCTGCTCGCTGACTACGAATCCGAGTGAGACGTTTGAAGCCAGCATCTGGCAGTATCTCTTGTAAGTTCGAAGCCCGTTAATCTATGCTGTGTCGAGCAAGCTGACCTGTGTCATACAAGCTACGTCCCTCACTCCGTCTCATCCCTCATTTCGCTTCTCGGAGGCGACGACGCCATGATTTCGCGCCTCGACTTCTTCCACACGTCTGGGCTGGCGGACATCTCCAACGAGCCCGTCTTCTTCACCGTCTTCCTCTACCACTACACGGGGCGGCCAGGCCTCTCCACGAAGCGCATCCACCAGTACGTCCCCGCCGACTTCAACTCGTCGCCCGGCGGCCTCCCGGGCAACGACGACTCCGGCGCCATGGGCGCGTTCCTCGTCTTCTCCGTCATGGGCCTGTTCCCCGTGGCGGGGCAGAACGTGTACCTGATCTCGCCGCCGTTTGTGGAGGAGATTAGCATCCGGCATCCGGTGACGGGGAAGACGGCGACGGTGCGCAACATTGGGTTTGACGCGTCGTACGACAAGATTTTCGTGCAGAGCGCAAAGGTGAATGGGAAGCCGTGGACGAGGTCGTGGATCGGGCACGAGTTCTTCACGGAGGGGTGGACGCTGGAGTTGGTGCTCGGGGCGGAGGAGTCGGGGTGGGGGCGGGATGTGAAGGACAGGCCGCCGAGCTGGACTCTTGGGACGTGATGTGGTGTGATTATGATAGATGATGAGGGACGAATAGACGGAGTGTTGCGTTGATGATGCGGTATACCTTGTGTATTCGTGATGCTCTAGGAGTTCGGGTGGTGTTGCCGCGTGATGCAAGCTCTGGCATGACCTGTCAGCGGCTGCACTCTGCCAATAGTCAAGACATCGAAGCCCAGACCCAGGACTCTCGCGCAAAGCAGTTTGATGAGCTTGTCTTGCCTAACATCTAAAACTTGAATCGAACGACACAAGACTCGTCAAGTCAACGGTTGATGACTTACACGAACGAGTGCCCCACTTGATTCCAGGGTCCAGCTCCCCAGCACCAGTGACGTATTAGTTGTACCCTCTCCGTTTTCGAATCCAGCAACTCAAACTTGCCCTCCAAATCATCCTCACCACCAAACGAAAACAAAACCGCCCCAGCGCCTTTCACACATCGCGCAATACCGCCCACCATGCAGGGCTTCAACATGGGACGCTACGTCCCCCCGGACCTCGAGGGCACCGTCCCCTCCGGCAACCGCCTCCACGGGAAACACGCCCTCGGCAGCCGCGCCTCCAAGCTCGCCTCGCACGGCATCCTGACGGTGCGCTTCGAGATGCCGTACCCGATATGGTGCCTGCACTGCGCGAGGCCGACCGTCATCGGCCAGGGCGTGCGCTTCAACGCGGAGAAGAAGCGCGCGGGCAGCTACTTTTCGACGCCCGTCTGGAGCTTTCGCTTCAGGCACGCCGAGTGCGGGGGGTGGATTGAGATGAGGACCGATCCGAAGAACACGGCCTACGTCGTCGTCGAGGGGGCGCGGAAGAGGGATACCGGAGACGCCAAAGCTGCTGCTGAGGGGGTTGAAGAAGGAGAAGGGGCGGTGATTCTGACGGACAAGGAGCGGGACGAGCTGCGAAACAATGCCTTTGCGAGCCTCGAAAGGACAATCGCGGACCGAAAGAGGCTCGAGATGGCGGCGGACCGCATCGAGGATCTTGCGGCGCTGTCGGAGCGCCACTGGAGCGATCCGTATGCCTTGAACCAGCGCCTGCGGAGGGATTTTCGCAAGGGCCGCAAGCAGAGGGAGCAGGATGCCGCGAGGGCGCGGGATTTACAGGATAGGATGGGGCTTGGGGGGTTGGAGCTTGTGCCGGAGGCGGAGGAGGATGCGCAGAGGGCTGCGTTGGTGGATTTCGGGGCGGTGGATGACGATGATGGTGGTGATGGGGCGTTGCTGAAGCCCTTGTTTTCGACGGCGACGGCGACGGAGAAGAAGACGCAGACGCAGATGCAGCCAAAAATTGCGTCCAAGGCCGAAAAGCAGGCGTCGAGGCGAAAGGAGGCCTTTGTAGCCAACGTCCTGTCCAACACGCGCGCGGCGCAGGATCCCTTTCTCATACAGCAACATCACGGCGGCGGCGGCGGCGGCAGCAGCAGCAGCGGAAACACCAGGGCAGCAGCGGCGGAAAGACCGTCATTGTCGTCGTCTCTCGGCATCATTAGACGAAAGAAGGGGAAGCATGCAGATGGTGGCGGCGGCGGAGGAGGAGGAGGAGGAGGAGGAGGAGCGAACAAGGACAATGACAACGGCAGGGTAGTGTCTGGTGTTGCGACAAGAGTGTCGGTGCAGGGGCTGGTGGAGTATGATTCTGATTGAAAACATCTGGAGCGACGGGTTTGTTTATTTTTCTCTTCTTTTTTTTCTTCTACCCTTTTTACTTTCTTTACGGGGTCAATGGCGTTTCATCACGGGGGGGGGGGGGGGGGGGGGGGGCTGGATAGACTAGGCGTTATCAACAGGAGGATCAATCAAAACGGGGGAAACAGGAGGACATGGCATCGTTCCATACATGATACCCCAAAGCTGGCGCATAGCCACATCTTATGTTAATCAAAGATGGATTGACGAAGCTATACTGTAAACTGTCTGTTCCGCCTAAACGAAAAAAGTATCTTATTCAACATACTTTGACACACAAACCACTCATTTCCCTGAGCTGCTCATCCACACCTGCCCCCCCCCCTCCATCCATGACATACGTACATACCAAAACTCCTGAGATACAAGTTTGCAGATCAAGACGTCTGTTTCTCCCTACTCGCAGTACAAGGGACAGACAAGGTACCGGCAAGATAGAGCAGACGAAACTCTCCCATCTTGCTTTTTCAAAAATGGTGAGAAACGAACGAAGTAGAGAAGAAAAGGAGTCGAGACTCGAGATGATGTGGCTGGCTGGTTAGGCTGATGACTGAATCCCATGTGACGCTGCTGTTGCTGACTGGGCCGCAGTGGTTTGCTCCTTCAATCGAGCGCTGTGACATTTGACAGACGAAAAGAAAAGGGTCCAAAGTGATAACATCAAGTGTTTCACCCTATACGTCGTCCATTTGGCCAGCAGGCTCCTCGTCATCGTCATCAAAACTCGCCACCGAGGACATGTCATCCTCATCCTCGCTCTCGGCGCCAGCCTCGTCCACGGAATCTTTGTTTGCGTATTTCTGGACGTATTCTGTTGAACCCACCCCCAAGCCTGTTAGTAACCCGTCCTGTTCGTTCGACCTCGTGCGGTATTGGCGCACCTTTCACTTTTGCTTCGTAGCTCTTGGGTTCCCTAATGAGAAGAGCAGCGGCTTCGCCGTTGAGCGGGTCTGTCGGGTTGGGGTAGCGGAGGAGCTGCGGGAGGAAGACCTCGAAAATGTTGATCATATCGAACATGGGAGACCATGTCTGGTTGATGACATCCAGACACACAGACCCGGACCTGTTTCGATTCGGCATGCCTTAGCAGACCATTCACTTTTCATCTTCCCTCTCGCTCCGGTGCAGACTCACAGCTCATCGATGTTGGGGTGAAAGATGCGGTTGACAAACCCGATACTCGGAGACTTGTAGGGATACGTATCGGGCAGTTCGACGTGCACTTTCCACAAACCTCCCTCAAAGGGCGCTGCCGAGCCGCGTTAGTCGTGGCACACAAAACAGCCTGCTCTCCGCCTCTTCTTGTCCATGCCAAAACTTACTCTCCGCTGGGCCCTTGAATCTGACGAAGAACTCTTGCCTGCAGGACAGAAAGTGATCAGTAGTTTGCAAAAGGATTATAAGATCGGTCGGTTCGAAACGGGCGGAAACAAAGGGCGCAGTCGGCGATGCCTTACACTGCAACGAGTCAGTCAGTCAGCAGTCCTGCAGCGTTGGAGGAGGATTGTTCAGGCTGCTGCTTACTGTTGTCATTGACAAGAGTCACTTCGTAGTCACTCATCAACCTGCATCGCTCGTGTCAGTCGGGCCAAGAGAAGCGTTGTGCATCGTTGGCGTTCGTACATCCTGCGAGGTTGTTAGCCAAAACACTTGTTTTTGTAAGTCCGTCAAGGCCCGAGTCGAGAGACCCGACTTACTTCATGACCTGTATCATCCAGAGAAAAGAGACGATTCATCAGCCTTGGAACCTTTGTACATCCATACAGACTCGCCGCGCTTCCCCGAGGCGGCAGAGGAGAAGCCGCAGACTGGCGACTTACATCAGTCTCGATTCGACGGCGCGGGCTGCTCATGATGGGCGACTATCGAGGGACTCTCCGGCCCGTTCCAACGGAAAGAAAGAAACTCGAAAAGGGTTATGTGGAGATGGAAGAGCTGAGTTGCGTCCAAGGCTGTCGAGGTGTACTTCTCGGCGTCGCCCAGCTGTGCGTCGTGACTTGCAGTAGCGTGTCTGTTGCCGGTAAGGCTTGCAGCAAGTCGATTCGGTTTCGGTTCGGAGAGGCGGATGGACGGGTGAGGCTCGGAAGACGAGGGTCGATCGGCGGGAGAAGACGATGGAAGGACAGAGAGAGAGAGAGAGAGAGACGATGGAACGGAGGGTGGGAAGAGGTTGAAGACGAGGTTTCGGGTAGACGTGAATCAGAGAGGGCGAGCGATGAAAAACGAGGCAAAAATCGGGCAGTCAGTCGGTCGATGGAGTGGACGGATCTGGTCGTGAGTTGGCGAGGAGTGATGCCGATGTCGAGGACGCAATCAAAGCAGGTTTGGCCCTCCGCTGCATCGGCTTGTCACTCTCCCCCACCCGCCGCGTCTTGCAGCCCCTCCCCGGCAATTCTGGCAGTGGAACATATTACTGTCCAACAGCGACCCAGCGGACCAGTTCCGGCGAGCAGCGGCGCTGAAGGGCCGCCGAGGATTTAGCGACAAGGGCGCTGGATCTACAGGGAGTGAGTGTTCCATCTGCTGCACCTACGAGTACGGTGGCTGTTTGAGCCGTTTCCCGGTTGGGGGGGTTATGGTTTGACGCCATCGGGTTGCTGTTTGCGTGTTGTTTGATGAATTAGTATTAGGGAGCTGTCAGGTGCGCCGCTTGGCCACTTTTGCCTTTTCGTGTAAGGTCTGTCATGTGTGGGCTTGAGGTGTTTAGTTCTGTTGTTTGTGCCGAGGGGCGAACTTCAACATTGTCAGCTGGAGGCGGGCAGGGATCCAAGGTGTTCTTGTTCGAGTAAGGCGTGAATGCAGCTGGAATGACGACAATGATGGCTTTCAATTGTTGTGGTGATGATGTCCTTTTTCCGATCTTCGACTTACACGCAGAATAGGAATGAATATGTTATAACTCCTCAAAAGCCTTTCCATCGTATGGACAAACAGAATACTATTCTTCAAACTCCCATCATCAAGACAGACAACCAGCCGATAACAAGCAACGCACATGCACACTCCCCGTCATTAGTACTCATTCCCTCCCATCCATCCCGCCCACCACTCAGCCTTACGCATCTCGACGCAGCAAAACTTCATGTTGCCTCCCTCCGACAAGCCCAGGCACATTCACATGTAAGCCAACAACTTAGCATGATACTATGTAATACGCATTTTCTCCCCCCTCCCCCCCCCCCCCCATCCATCCTGCCCATGCAAGTCAGCACAGCAAGCTCAGGCTTTTCAACTCCCAAGGGCACCCCAAAGTTAGTGAGCTTCGACTTACACCTGCACCAACCCAGGCTGAGCTACATGTACTGGATTCCCCGTCATAAAACCCACCCCCGTTCTCGTCATTGTGCATCTGTTCAATCTCACAGGTCATACTCCTTGACGCACCATTCTCACCCATCTTTTCTTTGAAGGACTATCTAGTATCTGTCTTTCGAGGTCACTTTGCAGCCTTACGAGGCGCGCCATCTCGGCAGCACCGCAGCCCGCGTCCAACTGCCTCGCACCGCCCTCGCCTCGGCACCGGTTATGTACCTTATGTACCTTGGTAGTCCGCACCCTCTCGCACCGTGCCCCCCAGCCAGAACTGCCGTCCACCCAAGGTAAAAACGACTCCAAATGCTTCAACCATTAATAACACAACAAAAATAAAAATGAAAATAAAGTAAAATCAAAACATAATCAACCCCTGTCCATCAGCATCATCCCTCATAATAGTAACCCATCTGGAATCGCCGAAAGGCTGCGCAGCAAAACAATGATGTACCTTAGTAATAGCAGTAATACCATAAAGTACTATGCCCATGCCCTTTGCACCAAACATGAACAGGGTGACCTCGTACTCTTACTCTGCCCGTGGCGCCCGTACTCGTACTCCGTATCAGTACAGTACGGTTTCTTCTCACTATAACGCTACCTTGTGCGACTTTACCATCTTCTTTACCTTATTTCCCTCCCTTGGTTCTTCCTGTAGCCCGACCGACCGACTCCGACTGCCCCCAAGATACTCAATTCTACATCGTAAAAACCAGCATGCCTCATTCAAAGTATTAAAAAACAGCGCCTCGTCCGCCACCTCAAGCTTCCTCCCTTTTTCCTTCTTTTCCTTTGCTTCAATTCACATTCGTCTCTTTTTTCTCTTACCAAATAAACATCTCCGTTCTTGTGCAAGGACTGGCTTATACAGATCGCGGCCCTCATCTAATATTCCATCTTTCGTCTATCCTGCAACGTTGAGGTTCTTGCATCCCCGGTTCCCACTTTCTTCGCTCAAAAGTACCCCACCGGTACCCTCCCATACACGCCGCCGCTGCACAGTACGTCTGAGAAACCTGCCAATAACACAACACCAAAAAATTTCCAAACTGGGAGCCATGTTCCCGATCGGAGCCTCGGCCAGATCCTGTGCGGCCATCGCCCGCAGCAGCAGCAGCAGCAGCAGCACGCGACTCACCACCAGCCTCGGATGCTCCGTTGCCGCTGCTGCTTCCTCTCCCTCGGCCCGCTTGTCCTCTTCTTCACCATCATCATCATCATCATCATCATCATCATTCTCATCATTCTCATCCTCATCTCCAACACGCCCATCCCTCGCGCCTCGTCCTCCCACCACCCTCTTCCATGTCAGATACAGCTCGCACTCCCCCATGGGCTCCCAGTCCGGGGCCGCGCGCAAAAAGGTCACCATGAGCACCATCAAGTCGCTCTACCAAAAGGGCGAGCCCATCGCCATGATCACCGCCCACGACTTCCCCAGCGCCTACGTCGCCGACCAGAACGGCATCGACATGATTCTGGTGGGCGACAGCCTGGCCATGGTGGCGCTGGGCATGGAAGACACCAACGAGGTCGAGGTCGAGGACATGCTGCTCCATTGTCGCTCAGTAGCCCGCGCCGCCAAGAGCGCCTTTACCGTGAGCTCTCTCCTCTTGCTCCTTTCTTTTTGTTTCGTCAAACCCGACTAACAAGCGGCATCATAGGTTGGAGATCTGCCCATGGGCTCGTATGAAATCTCTCCCGAACAGGCCCTGGCCACAGCCATCCGCTTCGTCAAGCAGGGCAAGGCGCAGAGCGTCAAGCTCGAGGGCGGCAAGGAGTTTGCCCCCACCATTCGCAAAATCACCTCCGCCGGCATCCCGGTCCTTGCCCACATCGGCCTCACTCCCCAGCGCCAGAACGCCCTCGGGGGGTTCCGCGTCCAGGGCAAGACGTCCGCCGGCGCCATGAGAGTCCTGGAAGACGCCCTTGCCGTGCAGGAAGCAGGCGCCTTTGCCGTGGTGCTCGAAGCCGTCCCCGCCGAGGTCGCCGCCCTCATCACCCAGAAGCTGTCCATTCCCACCATCGGCATCGGCGCTGGCAACGGCTGCTCGGGCCAGGTGCTTGTCCAGATCGACTTGACTGGCAACTTCCCACCCGGGAGGTTCATGCCCAAGTTTGTCAAGAAGTATGGCGACATCTGGGGCGAGGCGGCGCGGGCAGTTGTGGCCTACCGGGATGAGGTCAAGAGCAAGCAGTTTCCTGCCCCTGAGCACACGTATCCGATGCCTGCGGAAGAGTTTGAGTCGTTTGCCAAGGCCGCAAAGGACCTGTGAGGGGTGGTAGCCAAGGCATGCCAGCATGAAGCAGTGGCGTTTGTTTGTTTGTTTGGGTTTCATTCCGGTCCGTACATTGCGTTTTCTGTGTTATTTTCTGCAAGCATTGAAGTGGCGTTTTATCGAGTCTCTTGGGGAGGCCTGGGAGGAGGGGATATGGAAAAGAGGGATGGGTTGATATAGAAGGATACCACTGCGTTAGATAGCACCCTGAAGCCTTTCTTCTTTCGTCTTTCTTGTGTGTCTCTCTCATCTTCCACTCTCATGAGCTTTCATCCAAACGCCGGAGTAATGGAATAGGCCACAACCAGCTGATCATGAGCATTCTTGAAGCACTGCTCCTTAGTCAGTCCCCCTCCCATGATATCTCTCACCCTTCATCATGTAACAAGTGGAAAGGAGAGAAACTCACCTGGTGTAAATTCCCAACAACCTCATCCAGCGACGGCGCAAACGCACTGTTCACATACAAGAAGACGCTGTCCGTCTCCTTGCACCTCAGCTTCCTCCGCAGGTACCGCACCACCTCCTCAAACTTGCGCCCCGCCGAGATCTTGCACACGTCCTGCTGCAGCGCCGGCGCCGACCCCACCGCCTTGAACTTGACCACGACCTTGCTGTGCGCCGGGAACAGCTCGCCCGCGCTGGCCAGCGCCGCCGTCGCGTCGCGCGGCAGGTCCGCCAGCATCACCGAGGCGCTCAGCGTCAGCGGGATCTCGGGCGACGCGGCGCCGCTGTCGTCGCCCTCGCGGTTGCTGGCCGAGGAGGCGTTGTTGGCGTCTTCTGCTGCGTCGGGGAGAGGGGGGGAGGTGGTGGTGGGCGATGGCGGGGATATAAAGTCGGGGTCCATGGCTGGTGATGTGTTTGAGCGTGCTTGTAATGGCTGAAGCTTGGGATATCTATTACAGCCTCAAAGAGATCAAAGTCTTTCAAAGCATAGGATGAGCTGTAAAGGTACCTAGGTAGAGTCGTGGGCTGAGGGATCTGTATGTGAGGAGGTGCCTTATAATAAGCTCCAGATTGGCGTGAGATGATGAGAGCTTGTCACATGCGGTAGCTGCCTTGTATGTACGGTGCGCATACAGTGCGAATAATACCCCCAACCCCCAAAAAGAGGACCATCACCAGGGCATGCATATACGTATCAAGATTCAGCAACTCATTCCAGCACTTGCCCAATTAACTCCTGCTTATTCTGCTGCTGCTGCTACCTAGAGCTATCGCCAAAATGCTATCTCAAGTCGTAAATACCGGTCCGTTCCGTGCACCAAATAGACGCCCCGGACCATCCTTTGCTTATACACTTCGTGAATTGTAACATGCCAGCTACAACATACATGGACTTGACACATAGAGCAAGCCCCATCCAGCCCCATCAGCGCCTTTTGGCCTCTCGCTCCATCAAAGCATCAAATGCCATCCCATTTCCTTTACCAGTCTCCAACTGCTGCTCTCATACCATCTCGTCCTGTCCCATCCCTTCATTAGTCCCGAACTGCGTCACGCACAAAGCATTCCCGCCCCTTCCCTCGAATAATCCAGGCCACAATCGACTTCTTCTTTATCAAACCTCCTTCCCACCACCAAAATACAATCCATCGTTCCAAGTGAAAGACGAGGAAAACGGCCGAGTTTGAAATGAAAACGCCTCCTGCTATGTATGCGGGTTCAAAATGCCAATCATGCCGGCGCTTATGTGCCATGAAAACAGAGCCTCATGCTGAGTCGTTATAGCCGAAAGATGATCAAAAGAATCCCTGAAAGAAAGAAGAAGAAAGTCCAAAAAAGAGCAAAGCCCAGATCAGGCACAGATTGACAAAGGTGCCATCTGAGCTATGCCACGCAAATCCGGTTGAGATGCACAGAAAAAAAAAAAGGTCAAAGCCTGGTAGTTGGTTCCCATGGCCAGTGTCCCAGGGCGTAAGTCGACGTTTGTGGCGACCAAAGATTTTTTTGCAAAGTGTCGAGAAGTGGCATAAGGAATGCCATAGCCAACGCAGTCGGGACAAGAAGAGAGCGGGATCCAATGCGTGGCAGCGTAGTCTCTGACTGGACAAGATCAAACACGAAGAAGAAAAAAAACGCTATGCAGTTACCATTCTCCGTCGGATTCGTCAGAAGCGGCAGAGTATTTCGGTATGCGCTTGAGCTGCGCAAGGAGAGCATCCAGCTCGATCCAGTTGTCATCATTTTCCGCAAACTTGCGGTGCTTGCGGGACAAGATGTGCTGTTGAGAGATATGTTAGTCAGTCGTTTCGAGGTTGCCGGTGGACAGCAATGTATAACTTACCTCGTCAAAGTCACGGAACTTGTCCTGGCAGTTCTCGCAGTAGCCTGGCTTCAGGTCTCGCTTGCTCTTAAGGTGCTGCGTGGGTGCCTTCTTTTCCGCCTTCTGGCCATCGTCTTCCTGGCCCTGGATGGTCTTGGACGTGGTTCGGCTCAGCGACCGGCTGGACGCAACCTCGGCCGGAACCTCTGCAAGGCGGCGCGACGCGTCGTGCGAAGCGGGATGGGTCATCTGCAGGACTTTCCTCTGAAGTCCATGGACCTCCTTGCTGGTGCCGGCCTTTGCGCCGTTGATGCCGGACGTCGACGAGATCATCTGTGAGCGGATGGCCGACGTGATGGTATTCTGGATACCAGAGGCCACAGGCTCTCCCCCAAACGTGCGGCCCCCTTCGGCTCGGCTGATGAAGGCATTCTGGGCCGATGCGGCCGGTGCCGGCGGCCTCGAGAAGTTGGCCTTGATCGGCTGGAACGTCTCTGCCGATACACTGGCACGAACTCGGTTGTGGGCTTCTTCCATCTCCGTCAAAGTGCGCTTTCCAGTCACCGGCTTCATGGGCGGGACCTCGGGGGCTTTGAGAATCTGAACAGACTCTTCCTTGGCCGCCAAGCGCGCCTTTTCCCTTTCTCGTGCCTTGCGGTACTCCTTCTCGGCGGCGTCCACTTCCTCGACAAAGGGACAGCGTCCGTTTCCGACGCTGCGAAACTGGGGCCATTCGCCATCGGTCTTGTTGGCAACCTTGGGGTACTCACGAACCATGATGGGCTTTTGCCTCTCATCCATGTCCCAGATGTACAGATACGGGCCCTTGAAATACGTCAACTCACGGGTGGTGGCAGTCGGATCACGGTCAGAAGGTCCATTGATGCGCTCGTTGTGAAGGAGCTGGAACAGGTTGGGCTCGTGAGAGCTCTTGGTGCCGTGATGGCTCCTCGTGCTCGCAGATCGAGAGCCGTAGCTTTGGGTTTCAGACTCGAGCAGGACTGCGAGCATGCTCTGAAACTTATCAAGAGACCAGATTTTCTTTCCCATGTCTCGAGCCTTTTGCAGCACATCGTTGTTGCGAGCCACTTTGCGCTTCGCGGGATCGTTGACCAGGGAGGGCACAGAGGAGGCTTGGCGAAAATCAAAGAGCAGTCTTCGCCTGGCGGCAGTGGTGGCAGTGTTCCTGTCCAGCAGAGATGGGTTGATGGTCTGGGGCTGCTCCTGGGGCTCCTGTTCCTCAGACACCTCAGCCACAGCATCTCCAGCCTCTGGTTTTTCAGGTGGAATCGCTCGAGTCGTGACGACATGAGTAACCTCGATTGAGAAGAAGGGCTCTTGGCGCTATGTCAAGGAATCAAAGTCAGCATGGGTCACTCAAGGGGCCATCTCGAACGTGGAGGAACATACAGCACCAAGATAGGTCACCCTTTTGGTCAGCTTTGCGCGTATGTCATCTGGTATACTCTCAAAGTAAAAGACCATTTTGGGGAACTTGGCCCGGTGGTGCTTCTTCCACACCTCCTTCTCCGTGTCAACATCCTGCGCAGCTCTCGTTGTCGAAGCCGTGGCAGCTTTGGCAGCTCGATCCCTGACGACGGGTCGTGGCGGCACAGCACCACTGGGGTTGCGGGGAATCACAATGTGTGCCGGAGGGCGGGTCAGCTTGGACGGTGACCGGACGGGCCGTTGGGCGCCGTTTTCCAGGGCCTGCTTCTTGACCGGCGGCGGCTGTCCATAGGGCTCTTCGCGTTGGGCCGTGGCAAAGGGACGTTTGGGCTTGACGAAGCCGGCGAGGAGCGAGGGAGGACGCAGAGGCGAGTTGGCGACGTTGGGGTTGCTGGCGAGAGGAGCCCGTTTGGTGGAAGACATGGCGGGAGCGGACGCCTTGGAGGACGCAGAGACTGGCAGCGAGACGGTGGCCATGAACGGGTGCGAGTGCGTGTGCTGGTGCTGGAGCCTCTCGGATCAGCATGCCCTGGTTAAGCTGCCAACAGACGAGCAGACAGGGAGCAGCCGAGGAGGGGCTGGGGAGGGAGAGAGGCGACGAGAAGCACGCGACGGAGGCAGGACGCAGCACGTCTCGGAGGCTGGAAGGCGGCTGGAGGGAGGGAGAGAGAGAGAGAGAGAGAGAGAGAGAGAGCAGGTAAAAGAATGCTCGAAGGGCCTACAACGACATTTGAAGATCCAGCAGCCGTCGGGGGAGGAGACCGGGCGGGCTGGAGAGCTTGTCGGTCGGCTTGTCGAGGCCTTTTTGGGCGCGGACAAAGAAATGCGGTTTTGCGTGTGTGCGGGAAAGAAATGGATCTGGACTGGAGTGAGGCGTGCCTTTCAAGGTGTTGATGGAGCCTTCGCGCTTGGCAAAACAGCGCTATGCCGCCTTGGGCCGCCCTTTGGGAAAAAAAAACACGCTCGATGCACGGCAACCGCTGTTATCACAGGGTAAGCTGTTTCCATACGAAGAATTGAGTCTGGATATGCAATTTGATGGAGGGACAGATTGTACAGAACAAGCAGAAAGACGAGAGATGATGAAGAGCAGCTGTAGCTGGCATGAAGCTGGTGTGGATGAAGCCCGGAGCTATCAGAGTTTGGGTTGGGAGCTGTATTAGTTCTCTCACGTCTGCCCTCACGACTCTATAAGTGACGGCTTATCAAGTGATTGACCAATGATACAAACCAACAAAGTCTCTCCTGATTATAGTTACTTTCGATATTCAACATCACATATACACACGATTTAACTAGTCTGTAATATAACTTCTCGACAGTTTGCCTCTCCATGGCCCTTGCAGCGTCTCTACTGTGCATGCAGTCCCGTTGCTCCGTCCACCCTCTTTCCAAGCCAAAGTAAACAACTGCACGACGCGCTGCAGAAAATTGGCGGGGGGCAGCAACTGCAAGAAAAATAGAAACCGCCCAGCCCCTCGACAGAAGTGCTTGTACACAACAAGTACATGCTGCTCTTGCTGCAAGTGGCGCCCATCCGGTCTTAGTGCCCAGCAACAGCATGCAAGAACGCGCTCTGGGCCGCTCTCTGAGTGTACTTTGAGGTACACCTCTGCACTCAAACCGCCTTACCTCATCAACCACTGCACCTGCGCCATCGCTGCCAATGCTGTCCATTTGTGGCTATGTTCTACAGCTTACATAACCAGTTCGAGTCCCTCCATCACCACCCGCCCTCAAACATGGATTCAAGCTTTGATTCCGAGCCATGAACCGCCGCTCTTGAAGTACACCCGAAGCAAGCAGATTCACTGCATGAATCAAGTACTACTTCAGCATGCGGTGAACTGATCAAGCTTCGTCCCTTCATAAGCAGTAACAAATACTGCCAACAAGTGGAGCACGTACCAGACCAAGAAAAGAGAGGCAAATAAAAAAGAACCTCTATTGGATCATGAGCTTGGCTCTCTCCCATTGCTTCACACAAAACTCACCATTCCTTCATACTGCCCACATAAAATGAAGCCCCCTCGATCATCATTACGGAGCCTCGTGCTGCCGTCTGGAAGATTGCCATTAGTTCAGCGGCAGCAGAGACGCAGCATCTCTCAAGTCCTCTCCCACATCAACCGCCAAACACCATCACCGTCTTACATCTCCTCGCCTCGACGATGCTTCAGCTCAGTCATATCAGCAGCCGACCTCCAATTCGGACAGCCCGTCCATGAGACCCATCCGCACATTCTCAAAGCCGGCGAGAGTGAGTCCCCCCTCCTCCCCATGCCATGCCATGCCCATCCCCCTTTCATCCTCACGAGGAAAACTTGCCATCACACACACCTTGTCCTCACATCTCATCTCAAACCTCCCCATCCATCACAACTGACACAAAAGAACCCAAACCAAAGTAACCCCCGGCATCACCGCCCAAGAATACGCCGACCGCCGCGCCGCCCTCGCCGACGCCCTCCCCGCCGGCAGCTTCGCCATCCTGCACGCCGCCCCGCTGCAGTACAAGTCCGGCGCCGTCTTCCACCCCTACCGCCAGGAGACCAACTTCCTCTGGCTCACCGGCTGGGACGAGCCCGACGCCGTGGCCGTCATCGAGAAGACGGGCCCCCAGCGCGGGGACTACCTCTTCCGCATGTTCGTCAAGCCCAAGAACCCGCGCGAGGAGCAGTGGTCGGGCTACCGCAACGGCGTCCAGGCCGCCCAGGACGTGTGGAACGCGGACGAGGCCTGGTCCATCGACGCCCTCGAGTCCGTCCTCCCGAAGCTCCTCGCGCCCGCCAAGCTCATCTACACGGACGTCGAAGCATCCGCAAAGGCGTCATCGTCGCAGCACAGCACCTCCCTATGGCGCTTCATCACCGGCGCCATCTCCTCCTCCTCCTCATCAAGCACCACTACTACCAGTCGCCCGCTCCACCCGGTAATGAACAAGCTCCGCGCCGTCAAGAGCCCGGCCGAAGTCGCCAACATGCGCGCCGCGGGCCGCATCTCCGGCCGCGCCATCACAGACGCCATGCGCCGCCCCTGGACGAGGGAAAAGGACCTGCACGCCTTCCTCGACTACGAGTTCACGCGCAACGGCTGCGACGGCCCGGCCTACATCCCCGTCGTCGCCGGCGGCCCGCGCGCAAACTGCATCCACTACACGGTCAACAACAACGTCCTCCGCGGCGACGAGCTCATCCTCGTCGACGCCGGCGGCCAGCACGGCACCTACATCACCGACATCTCCCGCACCTGGCCCGCGTCGGGCCGCTTCTCCCCCGCCCAGCGCGACCTCTACGAGGCCGTACTGAAGGTCCAGCGCGCCAGCGTCTCCCTGTGCCGCGAGTCCGCCCGCATGTCCCTCGAGGACATCCACGGCGTCACCGTCCGCGGCCTGCTCGACCAGCTCAAGGCCATCGGCTTCACGAACCTCACGTCCTACAACGTCAACGAGCTGTTCCCGCACCACGTGGGCCACTACATCGGCCTCGACGTGCACGACTGCCCGGGCTACAGCCGGAGGGAGATCCTCAAGAGGGGCCATTGCGTCACGGTCGAGCCGGGCGTCTACGTCCCCGACGACGAGCGCTGGCCGAAGCACTTCCGGGGCATGGGAGTCAGGATCGAGGACAGTATCTGTGTGGATGAGGATGCGCCGTATATTCTTACCACGGAGGCTGTCAAGGAGGTTGCGGATATCGAAGCGTTGAGGGATTGATGGGGGATGGAAGGGTTTTGTGTGTGTGTGTGTGTGTATTACTACTAGTACCGAGATTTTTTTTATGACTTGTATATCATTCATGAGAAGGGTTGCGAAGATACATATGCCCTGCTTTCGAGGCTTGTTGTTGTCTTTCTTTACGTTTTCCGCCTGGCATTCGCCATGGTAGAAGATTCAACATGTACATTAACAAAGGCGAGCATGCGGAAGACACTTCTTGTATACGCACTCGGAGGATATATTCCATGGTTACAAGCACCACATCACCACAACATAGATAGGCTACTCATACCGAACTCCAAAAAAAAAAAAAAAGAAAACAGAGCGACTCAACAAGTTCAACAAGGCAAAAACGGCGTACGCTCATGTATGATTGCACAGCTCCTATAGAGGGACCTGCTCACGTTCCAAGTCCCGGAGCAATGAGACTACTCTCTTCCGTTTTCTCGTCTTGTCAAAAGCCCAGAAAAAGGGTGCTTTCGTCTCTATCAACCAATGGCCGCCAATTTATCCCCTTATGCTTTCATATAAAAAACACAAAGCGCCCCCCCTTTGTCATTGCTCTCTTCGTTAGGTCAATCCCTTCTTCTTCCTTGTCCCTAGATACGCATTGCCCTAATGTGTTCTGTTCCCCCCCTTTTCATCTCGCTCCGTTTTCCCAGAAAAGCAAAAAGCCTCAGAAAACCGCCCATGTCCGAGTTATATACCCCTCGCATCTGGATTTTTATGCCGTGTTTGTTTGCGGAAACAATGATAGCAAGAAACAAAAGGCCCCCGTAACGCCAATAGTAGTGTGAGAGGTGTGTGGTAGCAGGAGGCAACATCGATGTAGAAAGGTGTTGCGGTGGTGGCGGGAAGAAGAATTGTGTGCCTGCCTGGAGTGAAAAGCTCGTTGAAAAGCTTTCCACTAAAGAGGGAAATAGAAAAAAATAAGAGCCGTCATTTTTTTCATGCAGTCGTCGAAAAGCAATATGTACAATGTAAAAAACTATTGATACAATGAATCAACAGAATCCTCTCGGGTCAAAGAGCGTCATGCTATGGCTGGGCATGATGTCGACTCTCATGGAGTTGTTGAGGAGTGCTTCGAATGCTTGAAGTCGTCGCATAAGCTGCTTATGCTCCGTCATAATGTCCTTGTTGCGTTGCTCGAGTTGATGGATGTATTCAGTCGCTTTCGTCAATACGGTGCCCTGGGAGGTCAGAGTCAGCAAAAACCGTCTTCACCATAGACTGGCAAACTCGGATATGTTGATTTTCACTCACCTTGCTCACTTTGGCAATGCCCTGCGCAGCGTCCTGCTCTCCTTCAGCCACCTGCTGCAGCGCCGGCACCGCATTCCGCAGCTCAGTAATCTTGTCCTTGAGATTGGTTCGATACTTTCGCTCAACGTCGTTGTGCGCGATGCGGTCGGCGGATTTGACCTTTTCTTTGCCGATGCTGCTCGTGTCCGAGAGCGTGCTCGGCCGCTTCGTGGGCACCATCTTGGGCGGCGTCTCGACCTTGGGCTGCTTGTGCTTCAGATCCCGATTCTGCGAGAGGCCTGATGCGCTCGTATCGGCCGAGTTGTTCCTCTGGAACATGCCCATGTTGCTCAGCCCCTGTTTCGGGCCGCCGAAGCCGAAGCCAAACTCCTGGCTTATGCTGGGCTGCATCGAAGATCCGAAGCCCAGGTTGAATCGGTTGGGGTTCACGTAGGTGGCCAACCTGCCAGGGCCCATGGCGATTTCGAGCAGCCGGCGGCGCTCGTCCGGCGTAAGTGTGTAGTTGGTGCCTTGCGGGATCGGGTCCCACGAGTCGTTGGTCATGCGCCTCGGAATCTCATCGGCCATGACGGCGCTGGGCTGGATGCCTTGTTGCTGAGGCTTCTCCCAACCCAGCGACGGCGTGGAAAAGAGGCTCCTGGATGACTGGGCTTCGGTCGAAGGCAGCGTGCCAAGCTTGGACAGCTGGTCATTGATGTTGATGTTGTCAAACATTTCGTCGTCCTCGGACAGGGAATGATCAAAGGCGCTATCATCGAGGAAGTCTTCTTCCCTGAAGGGGGCGGTGGGATTGGCGTAGAGACCGCTGCCCAGTCCCGGCGTCATGTTTGTGGAAGCTCTTGATGCGCCTTGTGTTAGAGAGCGAGAAACACCGGACCGGCGATGCGGGAGGTCAGCTCACCTTGCCTGGTTGGCCGTGTTGTACTGCTTGGAAAAGTCAATCTCAAAGCTGCCAAATTTCTCCGCCTCTTCATCGAATTGGAGCCATGAATCGATCGAGTCCAGCGCCGAGTGCGGCGACTCGACCTTTATCCGCTTGGCATCGGGGCCCTCTTTGCTCTGGGAGATGATGGATTGTAAGGGGTTGCGGCCGGAGTACTGCGGCATCTGAGAAAAGTTCATGTCGCCCAAGCCGCCGCTGTTGCCGCCGCTATTACTGTTGCTGCCGCCGGCAGCGGGCGCATATGAGGGAACGGCGGACACCGGAGCTGCGGTGGTGAAGCTGAACATGTCCATGGCGGGCGCGAGAGGCGACGTCGTCCAGGCCGGGCGCTGGACGGTCGAGGGAGGCGTGATGGCCGAGGTTGAGGAGCCGAGATTTCGCTCGGGCAGGGTGACGAGAGGTCCGGGTCGTGACGACGGAGAATAGTCGAGGGCTTGTTCCATGCGGCTGCAAACCCGGGGGTTGATGAGTTACGTGCTGGGGTTAAAAGGGACCCCAACGGGTGGCGTGAGGGAAGCGCGCCGAAAGGCTAATGGCAGCCACAAGATCGGATTCGGAGTCGTCTGCGTGTGCTGTAGACGGAAGACGAGGGGGCGCGACGATAGCCGCAATGTCTCAAGAGGGAGAAGGCGGAAAATGAGGTGAAGAAGAGACAAGAGACACCACGATTGAGTCTGTGGTAGCGAGCCGAGGTGGACGGGAGGGATACGGATCGGGGGGGTAGATAAGGTAAGGTATGGGTGGTAATGGTAGATGCGCACAGCTCCGCCGCAAATGTATGTAGATGCAGAAGAGGTCAGTGCGAGGGCAGATGCAGAATGTAGAAGTAGAAGTAGATGCAGGCAGGGTAGGCGGAGAGATGGGATGTAGATGCAAAGTCGGAAGTCAATGGATGGTGCTGGTGTCTTCGTGCATGCAAAAGGTGAGACAGGGCACAGGAGTGGTAGGCAAGGTAGTACCAAGCAAGTACCGTTCGATATCAAGCTACAGGATCGAACATTGGCAACCTAGGCTCGGGTCTGTCTGGGAGCTGCGGTGCCAGAGCATCACAGGTAATATACAGGGTCGGGAGTTTCAGCATTCCACCACATGGCGGCAGGCCAAGCTCCGGGTGGCCGCTCGGGCAACGCCGCGACGGCTGCGATTCCGAAGCCTGAGCGAACGGCGCTGCAGCAATCCAGATCCAGCCCAGCCCAGCCCAGCCCAGACGGCAGCGCAGACGCGCAGGCCAGACCAAACCACAGCCCGTCGAGCACCAGCGACGAGGATCCCGCTCCAGGAACCGGTGCCATCCAAACAAGGCCCCGGCGCTAGGGAGCCGCGGCTTGGTCTCAGTCAGGCCATGCAAGCGAGGGAGAGCCGCGCTTTGCAGAGCTGCTGGGCTGGACAGGCAAGGTAGCATCTGCTGGTATGTACTTGGTAGCTCTCCGATGCTTGCTTCTCATCTGCGTTCCGAGGGGGGAGCCTTCTGTTGGGATCATGCATGTTTGTCCTTGTGCCCTCTGCCTCCGTACCGAAGCCCGGCATCTCTTCTGCCTGGGAGCTCAGCATAACGAAACGACCCTCCTCTCCCCCTCGGCGAGAGCCGGGACGGCGGCGTCTGTGAGCCAGAATGGCCTGTCATTTGCCGTTTGCGTGGGTATCAGCAGCCGGCATGGCGAATTGCAGGTGCGCCTGGGCGAGCAGACATGAAAATTTTCGACGTGCGCGCGGCCAGGATAAGGATAGTCGTCTGGGCCAGCGTCTGCGGTCGTTGATGAAAATGGCCTGACTTTTCGCGGAGCCGTGGCGCCTCTTCCCCCCCCCTGCGGATGACAAGAGTGGCTGTCGGCCGGGCCACAAGAGCTGGAGAGGAGGGAGCAGCAAGCAGCAGAAAAGAGAGGAGACAAGAGAGGGGGGGACCCTGCGCCGTGGGATGCCATGCATGTGGGAAGAAATGCAAGAATTGGCTGCTCAGACATCGTATGATTCGCAAGGTTCCCAGGGCCAAGGGCGACGCCCGGCCGCCGCTGATTGGCCCGCCGTCGGTGTCCCAGGGCTTATTGCTACCCCGTTAGGCAAGGCGGCGGCCGGCCATGGGGCGATTCTGCTCTGTTCTGCTCTGCGCCTCGGGGAATAAAAAGAAGAGCAAAGGAGAAAGTGGCCGCATTTATCAGGCGATATCTGGACGCATCCGGGGCGCGGAACTGGGCAGATGGCAGCAGCAGCCGGGCAGCGACACAATGGGGGAGCTCCTGGGGCCTCTCCAGCGGGCTGCTTCTTGCCAGCGGCAATCTCCACGAACCGTACGGGGAACAGCTGCTGCTTAAGTATTTTTCAGCTTTGACTCCCTCTTCTCCCCGTCTTCACCAATCTGTCGAGCGCTGATATGATCAGGTCTCGCCACCGTCGAATAGCATAGCAAGACGCACCAGGAGGCATGGCATCAGTCGCGATTATGGGCCCATTCTTGCTGCTGACCCGGCCAACGATGCCAGTGGTACAAGGTGAAAAAGACGGCAAAAAGAGATAAAAGAAAAAGAAGAGGAGCAGGGTCTTGTGTGTGTCCAGGTGCCAATGTGGTGGTACAGGCTGGAGTACGTGCGTGTAATGCGCTGAGATGGAAAAATGGAACGCCGAACAAGCAAACACAGGGCCCGAATTCCCGGCTCGCCTGGGCTCTCCTTTGTCCGCCGCCTCCTCCACGATCCCCGTGGCGACGACCAAAGAGGCAATCGCATAGCTGGATACTTGTCTGTGTATATCGGACAGCAGCAATTGGCATCTGTCCATCTTGAAGAAGAAACTATCCAGCCAAACAAAAAAAAGCCGAATATACTCCCAGAGGACTCCAGTATAGGGCCATGTGATGGCCCCCCCTTTTCATCGTGGCAACTACTACTACCTATGAAGCAAATAATGAGCACACATTTCCTCCTGCTTTGCTTCGTTCGTACATCCCATACGGAATCCGGACCTGGCTCCGTGGCATCTCCGAGCTTCGTCGAGTCTACATTTGCCCAGCTACACAGAACCGCGGCTGCGTCGGTGGCCGTAGCCCATCTAGACCCGACGGAACAAGTTGTTTCGATGCGGCTCGATACTACTCGGGTATGGCCTGTTTGTGCTGTCTCTCTATAGGCAGAAAACCTCACATTAGTCGCCCGTCGACAACTCCACAACACCAACTCTCGAACGGTCGAGCACTGCGCGAATCGCTCATGTGGCAGGTCCCTCTCCTTCTCCATCCATCTTATCGCCTCCCGGCTTTGGATGTCCATGGCTTCATCTGAATGGGTATCAGCCAAGATGATCCCCGCAGCATAATATACGGAAATACGCGAGTTGTCTAGTGCTTCCCGAGATACGATCTGTCGAATATGGATACGGCACTTTTCCGTCCTCGGCTGCCACATCGAGATCTCACTCCTTCAGATAGCTGTCCGGCTATAGCATGTATTACTCTTCCACGTGTAAATCGATCCGTGCCGAGGCTGCTTTCAGGTGGCAATATCAAAGAGTGGTGAATAACAATATCGACGAATCATCCCCCCCTGAGATAGGCACGGCTTCGAATTTGATTTGTAGATTGCTTGCTAGCGAGCAATATTGGTTACTATACCATACAGAGTACGGAGCGCGTAGTTGGCAGGCAGCTCCCCGGGGCACAGCTGCAGGAGCTCTGACAGGCACAACCGGCAGACAGCTTGGCTTGTGAATCGATCTGATTTAATCAAAGTAATCTGTCTGTTGCTACCCAGCATGGCAACAGGCTTTGTCTTCTCATGTCAAACAAACGCCAAAATAACAAAGCAGATTCCATAAACACCTTGTCCGCTGCTAACATACAGATGCTTCATCATACTTGTTATATCCAACTGTTGCCGCCGACATCGTCATGCCGGCTGATCATATGCCATATGCCATCTCTCCATAATATGCAAACCATATCCAAAACTCTTTCTCGTGAGAATTTAGATCGCCTTTTAAACTGCTTCTCAACGCCGAATCAACACCGCAGCAGCCACTTCCTGCTGCGAATCCCAAGCACACCTTACTTGGAAACAAACGGCTTCGGCAGCGTCTTCCGACGAAGGCAGTCGCTGCACTCCTGCGGCTCGTAAATAATGTCGTGCGCAGCCGACGTCCCTTTGCATCCGTTGAACAGCTTCTCACACCACCGGATCTGAAAGTACCCGACGTGGCCACAAGACCACTGCTTATCCACCTGCACGCACATGTCCCCTCCTCTCTCTCTCTCTCTCTCTCCCGATTGCGCCCCGTAAATCCCGGCCTCCCGTTCCGGCGACCTGGCCGTGGGCCCCCCGGGGGCGGAGCGGCAGCAATGGCCTCAGCTCCGGGATTTCTGCAGTAGTGGAGTGATCTGGATGAGCGGCGGCACCAATGATCGAGCTTTTCGTTCCCGTCTGTAATACTTGTGTGTGCCGAAGATGTAAAAGGGGGACCGGAAATAAATCATGGAATAGGCCTTTGCCAGTTCACAGGGGCTTCACTCCCAAGTCGATGAGGCTCGGTGCCCTTGTTTCGCTCGCCGCAGAAATGGTCTCGTGACGGTGGTTGTCTTCATGACTTGAGAGGTCTTGCCCAGCCTATAGCAAAAAGGGGTCCCGCAAAAATAGTCGGTGTCCTAACAAGCCATACCCTCCCCGATAACCAGCGGTTGTTTGCCCACGCAATCCCTAGGTATCTGGCAACCCTGTTGTTCAAGGCATCAAGGACAGCGGTGACGACGCTCGGCACGCCATCCGAAGATGAGCGAGAAGGAGAAACGAGGAAACAAGGAAGAAAACAAAGCAGAGACGCAAGGGCGAAAGCGGAGAGACAACTTCGGTGAGGCCAGGGTTTACACGCCATGCCCCGGACACTATGACTTTTCAGGGCTGTGTCTAGACCCTCCACTTCGCAGCGGCATCGAATCGAAATATGCCCCCCACTTACCTATGGCAGTGACCAGTCATACCGAAGTCGAATGCGGATACGACGTATGTACTATCAAGAAACCTATCGCTAACACTGACAGCATGGCGTGACTTGCTTTCAAGGCCTCTCAAGTTGCTGTCCAACAAAGGACGTGGTGCCTCAGCTTGAGAGTCTTTGGCCATTGACGGCGGGAGAGCAAAAATTCCGACTGAGCGCTGTTCCTGGAATCCCACGCTTTCCGCCACCTTGCCCGTTCATCATTTCAGTTACGGAACTCAACACTGCAGGATACAGGTAGTCTAAGCTCTGTCAGCTGTTGGAGAGGCTATTGGCCGGGGAAGCATCTCCGCCTCACCGTTCTGCAGCGAGAAGAGACTTTGGCCAATGATAGACCGCCGAGGCATCCTAATCCCGTAACGCTCCTGCGGGATGCAAACCCCGCCTTGCATCTCGACAAACGGCGTCTATCCGGTGTCAACCTTGAGGCCAGACGTGATGTCAGTGACATCTCATGGCATGAAATCCATCTTTTGAAAATCCCGCCTTGCCGCGCAACGAACCCCGTGATTTGGCTGGCCTCTTCATCTCCGGTAGTTCGTTCTCCGGTAGTTACCGCGATGAAGATCGACCATCTTCAGAATCTTTCCGTGGAGATACTATATCATACCTGAAGCGATTTGGCGCCGGCATGAACGATGGCGCTGTTTGATGTTGAGACGTGGTCGATAAATTCAGCCACAGTCATCATTGGCTTGCTAACTCTGTCTTTGGCCCTCCGCTACACGTCAGGGAGAAAGCTGCACCCAAGCGAGCCAACGGTGGTTCAGCCATGGATTCCCATCATAGGCCATTTGCTGGGCATGGTGGTGCATGGCGGCCGCTACATCAAGCGCCTTGGGTTAGGTTTGGATCCAGATTTCCACGGATGATGAGAGCTAATGCTTTGTTAGGCTGTGTTACCCTCAAGAGCCGATCCTGACTCTGCCAGTGCCGGGCTCTCGAATATATGTTGTTACAGAGCCTTCGTTAGCCGCTAGTGTCCAGCGCAACACCAAGACATTGTCAATGTCGCCTCTGCTGCCCGAGATAACCAAGCGGGTTCTCGGACTGGACAAAACAACGTATCACGTAATCAGCCAGAACCTGGATCCAGAACCGGGGGAGCCACGGGGATTCCTTGCCGATATCCATGACTGGGTGTATACCTCGTTTGGGCCAGGCGAATATGTGAATACAATAAGCCGCGAGGCTGCTCAGGAACTATGCTTCCAGCTGCAAGAGACAGTTGGCGCCACGGGTCCTGTCGCTGGCACGGTTGATCTTTTGGCCTGGGTTCGTCATATGGTTACTGTTGGCACCGCAAAGGCGTTCTTTGGGCCTCATAATCCCATCGCCGAGGAGCCTGGCCTGGCGCAGGATTTCTGGGCTTTCGATCACGGCCTCGGCGGTTTGCTGATTGGAGTTTTCCCATCCCTCACAGCTTCCAAGGCATATGCCGGGCGCGAGAGACTGACGGCTGCGTTCTGCAAGTACTTCGAAGCCGGCCATCTGGAAGAAGCCACATTGATCGTCAGGGGTAGAGCTCGGATTGAGAAGGAATATGGCATGAGTACCGACATGACGGCCCGCTCGGCGCTGTCGTTCCTATTCGCAGGCATTGTAAACGCGACGACGACCACGTTTTGGGTTGTGTTGAGGACCTTTGCGAACGAAGGTCTTCTTGCTCAAGTGCGCCAGGAGATTTGTCAAGCGCTCGAAGTCAGTAGCCAGCGCTCGGGACCGGACTCGCTAAGCATCGCAGTAGTCAAAGAAACGTGCAGAACGCTGTATGCCGTTTACCGCGAGTGCCTACGCGTCGGATCGGAAAATTTTACTGTTCGGATGATCAAGGAGGATACGATGCTGGCTGACAGGTACTTCCTGAAGAAGGGCGCAGTTGTTCAAATCTCTGGTGGCGCCATTCATGGGAGGAGCACTATCTGGGGCCAGGACGTTGACGAGTTCAACCCCGGCAGATTCCTCAAGGAGAAGGGCAAAGGCGATGGCTTTCACCCAGCAGCCTTTCGGGGATTTGGCGGCGGCAAGACGTTGTGCCCTGGCCGCGAATTCGCCACGAATGAGATTCTGGCATTTGCTGCCATGATTATCCACGGAGTTGACTGGGTGGCCCCTGGCGGTGGAAGTCTGTCTGTTCCCGAGAAGAACGATCGTGTGATGCCCGTTCACATTCTCGAACCGGCGACAGCTGCCGAGGGCATCGTCCACCCGAGGGCAGAAGAGGTGAAGATGCTGAGTCGGCTCAAGGTGGTGATGTAAGGCGATCGGGCGGTTGGTTCCCATGACGATATGCCTATACGTTTTGAAGCTGTTGGAAATGCTCGATAGCCGTGCTTAACGTCGGGTTGCAAAGTCTTGCTCCATGATTCATCGACTAGGAGGAAAGACACCGTGATGATGTTCGATGTTGCGATTCGCCAGCCAAGTTGCCGTCGTGTTGATAAGGCCCGGGTTAGATTCACCGTCGTGAAGAAGAAGTCTCCGAAAAGGTAGATAGGTAGTTAAGGAAGGAGCGCTGGGCCGTTGGGCAGCCGCTTGCCTGTGGCAGGTGCAACTGACAGCTGCCGACAAGAAACGGCAGGCACGAGCGCGATCCTTCACCATTGCCCAGGCTCTCCATGTTTGCGCCTCTTCTCCTCCTTTCCACCATGATTTGCGCAAGGAAATAGAGCTGCCAGACACGCTGTCGGAATCAAATGAGAGAACCCTCACAGCAGTCCATGCGCAAACAACACGAGGCACCAGCAGCTCCTCTCTGCACCGCTTCTCGACAGCCACCAGTACAGAGTTGCGCCTACGACCGTTTCTGCCCTGGGCCAGAACCTTGATAATCAGCCAAGCCCAACAAACCTGGCTAGTATATAAGAACCGACTCGAGTCTGAACTGAAAACAAAAACCTCTTGCAAACACACCCTTCTCGAGCGTTCACACTCTGCATCTCATCTCAGGGGTCGCGCGACAATTGGTTCCAAGATGATATCAGTCTCGGCGACCATTCTATGGGCCTTGCAAATCGCCATAGTACTCCCCAATGGAGCCTTGGGCTTCTCCTGGGGAGGAAGCAAAGGCAGAAACAGTGAGTCATCCGTCCACATCCTTCGCACAAGACACAATATGGATGCTGACTTATCCCTAGAGCTCGTACATTCTTCCGACTTGCCGTCGTCTATAAGCGACTCAACCAGCAGCCCCAGGTTCGACAACTCGGGGTTGCCTGCCATGTATGTCACTGCGCTCAACGAGCTGCAGGAGCTGGAATCGGAGCCCCTCTGCCATCGTACTGCAGCCCTTCTTCTGGTGAACAACTGTCAACTTCTCGACGGCCGGGACGATGCAACGATTTTGACTGACAGTGGACGGGCTGCTCGAGATTTTGTTGATTCTTATGCTGCAAGCTTAGCTATATGCGATTTGGAAAGGGGCAGCTTCGTTATCCCATCCTCCTGTTCCAAGTTTCAAGAGTCAGTCTTGGCCCGAATGTCTCCACCAACCAAGCCGCAGCTACATGTAACGACATCCGAGATTGATGCGTGTCTCGAGGGCCTGGCACAGTCGGACTCGGCCTGGAATACGTGGGTGAGCTACCGCCATAAGACTTTGCGGTTTTGCGAAGCAGCTCGCGCGGATAATGAAAAGGGTAGGTTACCAGTGCTATCCAGCCACATGAGGATAGTGACCCAGCTAAATTGATCCAGATCAAAATATCCGAGTCCACCAAAGGCTGACAAGCATCCTTGCAAAGCTGACGACTCAGCTCGAAGAGGAGATGGAGGCGCGGCTTCAATCGATGAGCCATATGTTCCAGGAAGCTGAGGCTACTATGGAAAGCCTAAAGCCCCGGATGAAGGACCTGCAAGACGGCATCATTCAGCTGGACGCTCTATTTGGGGATCAGATCATCCGAAACGTGCAGGTAAGGGCCTTTGTGATAGGAAAGTCTTCCAATTCGATCGCTGACAATACTTACAGCAGACAGCGGACTTTGTCACTCACGGACTTGATGACGCGAGACAGTTACAAACGCTACTAGCTATGCTAGCTGACATGGCAAAGAACCAGAATCGCGATCTGGCAACTTCTCACGAGTCTGCTTTACAAGAGGTCACTCTAAGAATAACTACTGAGGTTGATGTCATACTAGCAACGCTCGCTGCAGCAGTTGCCTCGTCCACATCTTTGCACAGAGATATTGTAAGTAATCTTTGAATATCGAAGCTTGTCACTCCTGACAGTGGCTGGCTAGGAGATCTCTCAGTCCGCGGCTGCAGCTGTTGCGTTAAGACAGGAGAAGATAGAGACGGTAAGTTGCCTGTATTGACATATTGCGATAACAGCAGAGGGGTAAAGGAAGTACATATCACTGATGCAAGTTTGACAGGGCATGCAAAAGCTTGAAGGCTTTGCCGATTCTCTGCTGGTACAGCACCAAAAACATCAGGAACGGCTTAACAATGCTCAACAAACAGCTTCGGACCTGATAAATATTCTGGATTCTGCGTCAACCTCAGCCGTTACTCTTCGCAGCTCCATATATAACAGCTTTGGTTGGGGATCCTGGTGGCCTTATGTGTTTTGCCCACTCACGTCTCTGGTCGTCGGCTCGTATGGACTGCCACCTTCCGCGACGAGAAACCTGGTGCTCATCAGTCTCGGTGAGTGAGAGTGCCCTGAACTTGCGGCTGTTGGTTAGGGTGCTAACAGAAGCAACTGTTTAGGGGAGATGGCTGGCTTTGGACTATCCATCGTCAAGCATTACGGAAACGACATTTACACAGCATTTACGCCTGCCAACAAACTACCGATGAGATCGAATTCGACAACAGTATCTGACGAGGCTATTTATTCGAATGCCGCGTTTACGCATGACAGTTTTCAGCAACTCAAACTCAACAAGGCCGTTTAAGCATGGCGGGGAGAACGGTTATGGTGAAGAGTTATATGGTTGCTGTCCACGTCAGCAAGTGATTTTACGAGATATTGGGCATGCGGTATTTGGGACATGGGGCCTCCGGCGTTGGCGTTTTCGATCTAGTATGTTACTTGAAGGTTTCAGACAAGCTCTACCTTCAGTTATTGAGCCGGAGTTTTATGGGTTAAGGGAGGCAACATTTAGATTCTTCGTGGGCAGCGAGCAAGACGACCAAGATCGTCCCTGATAGCTAATAATAAACCAGGCTTCCGATCTGTTCCGTATGATGATGATGGCACGCTGACCTCTGAGTGGGAAGTTGAGTAGAATCATTCCGCAGTATATGGAGAATGGATAGCACGGAACAGCCTCTTAGCTTTGGACCTGACTCGAGTCTCCGCGAGGATTTGATAACAGAAACGTTCGAAGACAGCTAGCGACCGAGCTGTAGTTCGCGGGGTTCATAAGCAGCCGCGCAATTGGACAGCCGCGACGCCTTCTCCGCAGCCGATGTCATCTCTTTCGCCGGTTTTCGGTGGCCCATTTCTGGGGAATATCTATCGATATCAGACAGGGCGAGGAGGTAAATGGACGGTGCCTTTTAGCCTGGGCTGAAGCAGTTGATAAGAACTAGGAGGAAGCAAAACAAATTCGTGGTCTCTCGAACTTGCGCCTTCTGCCAAGCAAACTCCCGTGTAGTATCTTGTTGTGTCGATTGACCCGGAGGAAAAAGATGGCGTCGAATTTGAAGATTGCGCTGATTCAGCTGTACTCCAAGGTGAGCTCCTTTGGTTTGTTTTGTTCGTTGTGTTTCTGGGCGCTTCAGCCTCGGCGCTCTTTTGCTCGCATGCCACCAGCAAACATGCCCGTTGCTGCAGCTACTACCCTATCCGCTGCTCTTCTCATTTCTGGACAAAGCGATGAAGCTTCAAAGGTCATTGACAAAGGGCTAATCCATTCCACGATGTAACAAAAAAAAAAGCCGCTCGACATCGCCGGCAACTTTGCCCGCGCCGAGTCGTACATCCGCAAAGCCGCCTCGCAGGGCGCCCAGCTCGCCGTGCTGCCCGAATACCACCTCTCGTCGTGGAAGCCCGACGGCAAGATCCTGCTCGAAGCGGCCAAGGAGTCCGCGCCGTACCTCTTGAAGTACCAGGCGCTGGCCAAGGAGCTCGGCGTCGCCATCGCGCCCGGCACGATCCTGGAACCCATCCCCGCCGCCAAGGACGCCGCCAGCAGCAGCAACAAGACCGAGGGCATCGCCAACGCGGCGTACTTCATCGGCCCGGACGGGGCCCTGCTGGGCCGGTACCAGAAGAAGAACCTGTGGCACCCGGAGAGGGCGCACCTGACGGCCGACGGGCTGACGCCGCACCGGGCGTTCGACACGCCCTGGGGCCGCATGGGGCTCATCATCTGCTGGGACCTGGCCTTCCCCGAGGCGTGCCGCGCGCTGGTCGCCGACGGGGCGCGCTTCGTCGTCTGCCCCACGTTCTGGCTCAACAGCGACGGGGGCGACATCGGGGCCGAGGTCAACCCCGAGTGCGAGCGCCTGTTCCTCGAGAGCGTGGCGGTTGCGCGGGCGTTTGAGAACACGTGCGGCTTCGTCTTCTGCAACACGGGCGCGCCGCTGGGGAGCGGGACGAGCGGCAAGGACGACGAGGGCACCGAGTTCATCGGGCTGACGCAGGTTGCCATGCCGCTGCAGGGGGCGCTGGGGAAGCTCGGCGTGGAGGAGGCCATGAGCGTTGTGGACGTTGATACCAAGGTGCTGGATATCGCGGAGGAGGTGTACAAGGTGAGGGCGGATATCGCGGTGGAGGGGTGGCATTATGCGCATACTCTGTGTAAGAGGGAGTAAGATGGGGCCAATTGTTACATGCGGCAACTTGTGAAACTGTGTATATATATATGGATATATGGATGCATACGCTTGGCAAAACGAGAGAAAACAACAAGATTTCCGTGAAGCCAATAGTCGTTTCATCTCTCATAATCGTTCCTTGCATCAATGGACAACATGACAACAAAACGACCGTTCCGCTCCTTTTTGGCTTGTCCCTGGCAGTATAACAAAGACAGAAAGAGTATATAATAAGTTGGAACAACAAACGCGCCATACCAAGTTTCCCTCACAAGCCAACGATGAAGGCGAAGAAAGAGAGAGAACGCTCAAGGCTCCCCCCCTAGGCCTGCAGCCCCCTCTCCATCTCCCTCTGCGCCAGCGCCAGCTCCCTCAGAAACTTCTTGCGCAGCTTGACATTCGCCTCGCCGTGCTTGTACAAGAGCCGATTGAGCATCTTCTGCGCCTTCTCCTTGCGATGGCGCATCTCGGCGCCGTCCCCCGGCATGCCCTCCAGCCCGCCGACGCGGACGACGTACTTTAGCTGCGAGTCGTCGCCGTCCGTCCAGATGCCCTCGTAGTTTTCCGGGATGCCGCGCTTGGCCCGGAGGCTCTTGAGGACAATGTCCATGGTTTCGCCGGGGGTCATGGTGGTGCGACGCATGGCCTCGAGTACTTCGACTTCCGTATAGCCCTGGCGGAGATAGTTCTCCTTGCATCGATTGAACTGCTTCTTCTTGTCTTCTACATGCTCCTCGTCGGGGTCGCTTGAGTCGACTGCGTCTTGTTGCTGGACATCCTCCTGCTGCTGCTGCTGCTGCTGTCGGCGCAGTCTTTCTAGCTCCTCCTTCAGCTGCCTTTCTCGCAGCTCCCGAGACGGCGGCTGCTGAGCCTGTCCGAAAGACGGCGGTAATGCGCGTTTCTTAGACCGCGATCTTGTTGGCGTATACGTAGAAGGGACTTCCTCTGGTATAGTTTCAAGGCGTCCGTCGTTCCTCTGAGCAAGACGTGCCGCCGTCGGACTAAAGTAGAGAGTAGGAGTCTCGGCATGTTCGGTATTTGCGACCAGGTCAGTCTCACTCCGCAGTTGTTGAGAGGGAGTCATATCAAACGACTCGTCGAGGGGTGGTTGTTGTCGATGAGTCCTTTGTGACGGTTCTTCAGTCTCCGCTGGTTCTTCATCTATTATCCTATACAGGTTACCTGGTGCCGACGATGGTGCCGAAGGTCGCCCAGTGGTCCTCAGCTTGTCCTCGGGGGTCATTGGGATCTCGGTATGCATTGTCCGCCTGCGCTTGGGTGCTTTTTCTGGCGTCGACGGCCGCTCGTCTGACACCCTTTTACTCAACCTCATCTCGCTGGGATCGCTCATCATGGACGACAGGATGTGATTTTGTTGAGAGGGCCGCGGTGTTGTTGAATGGGTGGCAGCTTCTTCATCCCCAAAAGCGGCTCCGTCCTCTTCCGCAATGTCCTCGTCGGGGTCTTCCTCGATGTCTTCGAAGCTCATCATGGCCTCTGCAAAGTCTCCTAGGTAACGATTGTAGCTTGATTCCAACAAGCCAGCGGTGACTGCCTTGCTTCGAGTCCGGCCGAGGCCCACGTCTTGCGCCACCTGCTTCCAGTCCACCTCATCCAGTGGGACAGACTGCGCGCTGACGGCCTGATAAAGGTCGAACAGGTCTACCTCATGATCCTCAACGACGCATCTGGTGTGAAGCCTCTTGTTGTTGGCCTCGCAGTAGTCCCGCAGATCGCTCAAGAATTGATCTCTTTCCGAAAAGGACGACAGGCCGCCATCAACACTAACATCGTCCTGAATGTTTTCGTCTCCCTCTTCGCCTCCCAGCTCCCCCTCAGCCTCCTCTTGTCCGCTTTCGCGATCATCTTCCGGTTCGTCTGCCCCCGTATGCATGTTTTTGGCGGTGGCTGGCCCATCCGAGTCAGTTGTATCGTGGTATTGAGGCGTTTCCCTTTCAACTGTATCACCGCTGGGTTCAGGAACCGCGTCACCCGTGTGGCTTCTCCCATTGGGACGATCCGAGGATATCGCCTCTGAGCGCCGAGCTGCTTCGCTTGTGGAATTTCTGGAGACTCTGGGCGAAGGCTCGGTACGATCTCGAGAGGGTTCCCTGCCTGAACTGGGGGTAGCATTGGGCCGAGGGGCCTGCGGCCGCTCCTCCCTTTGGTGTCTCCTGATGAGGTGTTTCGCAGTGATCGGTGCGTGGTCAAGATCTACATTGGCCAATCTCGCCAAACGATCCAGTTCTTCATTAGATTTGAAGGACAAGATCTTTACCCATCGATTCCTCCACGACTGCCATGTATGATGAGGGTACTGTACTTGGTTAGGATGGCTTGTTTGTAGGGGGTGTGGGGAACCAAGTGACGCGGACATACTTGGTCTGCCAGCTTCATGTACATTGCGTTACCAGCCGTGTTGGTGCCCTCCTTGAGGACATACTTGGCAACGAGGGCATCGTCGAATTCTGTAAATTGCATCCGAGTCTTCCTGGCATGAGGTCCTGCGAGAATCGATCGACGCTCATTGGGAGGCGGTTCTTTAATGTACTTGTCCTCGACCTGGAGGATGCCTGCGTTGACAGACTCCGTGATGAACTTCCAAGAGTACGATCCCATCGGTGCATTCTTTTTAACGTGGTCCGCGATGAGCATGTCTGCGTCCTTCTCCCGCGGGACGACAACGCCGCCATTGCTCTGGAAGGGACAGCAAGAGAAGGAGTCAGCAGCTGCTTGAAGATAGTCGTATGCAACTCCTACGTACCTCTATTTTTTCGATAATACTCGATCTTTGAGGAACGTTGAGGGATACCCAGAACTTGATGTCTCTGAAGATGTTGCCCCCCGCCCCTGTAACTCCGTCATACGTGACGTGCGATGCCATCGTCCTCGATTGCCGCGCCGCCCTTTTCGCCGTACAGTTTGCGTCGCGATAATATTCAATTGACTCGTATGTATATCGTCTCCCACGCGCTTCTCGAATGCATGCTCAGAGAGATGAAGAGTGTGCTGGCAAGTTTTGGTCGACAGGCAAAGCTGAGTCTGAGTGCGACGGCCGACACCTTGAGGTGATGAGAAGCGGCAAGAAAGAAGGACGAGGGAAAAGGCGCGAAAGAGCCTTTGTCTGTTATATTGCTATATGTCAGATGGAACCCAACCACTTCCTCTCACAAGTTCTCATCTTTTCTGCGCCGTTTCGCATATGGACCTCTTTGAATCTCATTCACCAACCCATGAGATGAGACGCGTGGTTGACGGTCGCGCAGTCACGTGCTTCGCCTGGCCCATTCCCCAAGCTTTGGGCAGGCGAGTATCGGGGGTCAGGTACGGAGTATGTAAGCAGGCAAAGAGAAGCCCCGCGATAACGATAACACCACCAACCGAACAACGCTGCTGCACAAGTTATTTCCGCTTCAGCTGGGGGGGCTGGTGACAGCTGGTTGTTCGGCTACGCAATCCTCTTTACTTGCTCGTTTTCGCATTTTGCTTTTCCTTTGGCGCGCAGCAGTACACGAGCTCTTTTATTGAAGCAGTCTCTTACTTCTTTTCCGACTTATTTTTCTCTCGTTTTTGTTATATAAAAGATCCGGTCCCTTGGCAATAGATACCGCCATCATCATCGTCATATACGACAAGAGTGCTCACGCTCTCTACCATACTGCAGATGCCTCATTCTCTTGGGTCATGACACATAGCACAAGCGCAGCTTTTCTACCACAATGGACGTGCTCAAGCAGATCCTCATCATCCTTCTAGCGATATGCTTCATAATCTTCATCACCTTTTTCGGCAGGCTGCCCGCTTTGAGGTGAGTGTAATAGTGTCTACATCTCCTCAGAGGGGGCATTTACTGATATATAATCACGTAGGAACACACCCATCGCTTGGCTACACAAGCTGATATGGATCTATATACCCAACATAGTATTGAGCATAGACCAGACGCTCACCTCTGGGAGGGTGACTGGATCCCTATCATGGCTCTACCGCCGTCTTATGTATGACCGCCATCCAACCATCGTGGTACGTTTCTTGCAAGCCTCCCCCCTTCCTATACGTTTTGCTTCCCAACTAATGCCCATCCTCAGATCTTCTTCTTGTTAATCATGACCGTGTCCGAGTACATGTATCTGCCCGCCGTCTGGCCCAGGATCGGCCTCTTGGCGCAATCCACCGCCGCCATCACCGTCCTGATGCCCTACGTCTTCCTCTACCTCGCCTGCTCCGCGGACCCGGGCTACATCACGCGCGAGAACCACGCGTACCACATGTCCCTCTACCCCTACGACTACGCCCTCTTCCACCCGGGCAACGAGTGCCGCACCTGTCGCTTCCTGAAGCCGCCGCGCTCCAAGCACTGCGACGTCTGCAAGCGCTGCATCGCCCGGGCCGACCACCACTGCGTCTTCATCAACTCGTGCGTCGGCTACGGCAACCACCACTGGTTCCTGCTCCTCCTCTTTTCAACGTGCATCCTGGTCACCTACGGCGGCCTGCTGGGCCTCCATCTGCTCACGTCCAAGATCAGGGAGGACTACCCGGCGTGGACGCTCTGGCCCGCCAGGGACATGGAGTTCCACCGCTACCTCGCCATCTGGGGCTGGGGCCTCCACGGCGACATCCGCATGGGCGCTTCCACCCTCCTCGCCCTCCTCACCGCGCCCCTCATCTGGGCCCTCTTCATCTACACCCTGTTCCTCGTCTACTGCGGCACCACGACCAACGAATCCATGAAATGGACGGATTACAAGGAGGACATGAGAGACGGCTACGCCTTCTGGCGTCCCTTGGCCCTCGACCGACCGCGCAACTTGCGCCTTGAGCCCCCGTGTCCCCGATGGCCCTCGGCGCCGGAGCACATCATCCTGACCACCCAGGACGCGCAGCCGCCGAGCCGGGAGAGGAACTTTGCCGGCCAGGGCGAGTGGGAGCGCGTGTGGGACCTGGACGACGTCGACAACATATACGACATGGGCTTCTTGCATAACCTCGGCGACATCTTCTTCTCCAACTACAACTTTGGCGACGGAACGGGCGAGCCCCCTACGGAGCGTCGACCGCGGGGAAGAAGTATAACCGCCAAGTCTGGATACCCTCAGTGATTAGTGGAGAACGGGAGCTGCTGTATTATCCTTGAGCGTTAGAGGTGCGGAAGCAGTGTCATTGCCTTGTTATCCATAGCGGCCGGCTTGTTGATGATGCTATTGCAATGTATGAGAAGGTATTGTATATGTTTTCCGTCAAGATAGACACGTCTTGTTTCGATATCTGTTAACCGTCGAGATGATGGGAACTTATTGTATTTATCCTTTTTTTTTGTGTGTGTGTGTGTTGATAGAGGTCCTTTTCTTTATTTTTTTCTTGGTTTTTCTTTTTATCTACGTATCATGATTCATATTCGTCGTATCTTCACGCAGCTAGGTCTCGCATAGACCTACCAAGACTAAGAAAGTATATACCAATCCGCCACCAACGGTTGAGACGCCGACCCCGTATCTCTACCTTCTTCTAGAATGCATTGATTATAAGTGAGTTGATGGTAATTTCCAATCAAGTTGTTGTGATGATCACAGAATGGTACCAAATCTAATCAAGCAACCAGTTAGTGATGAGTTTGGTAGCCACGGGGTTGTCTTCGACATGATAAAACTTACCCAAAGGTTTGCTTGATGCTCTTCACGTAATACTCGCCCCAGTTTCGCCTGGTAACGTCCTCCTGGCCGACGGGGACACCCTCCCAAGTGACCCGCATGACAGTGACGTGATCGACGTCGTTCTGGTCGAACTCGATGTTGAGCTTCGAGTAGTGACCGGCCGGCCACTGGTTCAGTCTCCAGCTCTGGACGATCTTCTTGGGCTTCTCGAGTTCGAGATACTCTCCCGAGACGTTGCCGTCGAAAAGCTCAAACTTGCCTCCCGGCTTCGCTCCCTCAAAGACCTTTGGTGGCGACCGAGTGAAGGCAGCCAACCGCTGGGGGTCGACAAACGTCTGGTACAGCTCCTCGGCAGTGGTGCGGAACTCCTGGTCGTCACGCACTGTTACCGTGTTGACGACGCCGGAGCTGCTCTTGTGAGAAGTGGGGGTCTGAGTCCCAGCCTTGGGCGTAGTCTGAGGAAGGGTTCTCGGGGTAGAAAAGCCGCTGGAGGGGTTGGAGCCAGGCGCATGCTGAATATCCTTTCCATGCTCCGTGATCAAGGCACCCGCAAGTTTCTGAAACTCCTTTCGCAGCTGAGGAACGAGCTGTGATCGCACAAGTTCCTTGACGGGCTGCTTCTCTTTGGACTCTGAGAAGATGTCGATCTCGAACTACATGCCGTTGCGTTAGCGGCGTGTATGTGGGGGAGAGAGCTGGACGCGGGACGCCTATACATACCACGTAGTCATCCTCCTCCGTGTCATGGGCAATCTCAGGGATGGTAATGTTCCCTGAGACCTCGTCGATATCGGCAGTGGACCCTATGGCGAGGTCAGCCTCAGACGCTTTTACCATATATGTTGACCAAGTCTACCATACCAGTGTATTCCAGAACTAGCTTAACATCAAAGATGGTGATAACTTTTCCCTTGCGCTGGCTGACGTCGACGTCGCCGGTCATGCTCTGGACCTTGGTGATCCTGGCCTTGACGTCTCCATTTTCAGCCTCGAGCTTGGTCAGGTTCTCTCCAAACCAGTCCTTCGTCCAAGCAGACGCATCCTTGTTCACCCAGTGCCAGTTGTTGGGGTTGTGCAGAACCATTTTGCAAGGTAGGCTCGGAGATTATAGAGAAAAAAAACTTCAGCGGTCGTCCGCACAGCGGGCAATGTCCTGTTCGGTCCAATGGTTAGCCTCAATGCCGAGCAAAGACTGAGCAGAAGAACAAGCATAATGTAGTTTGCAAAACAAGGTTCAGAAGTGGTTCTAGACCACAGCAATTTTGGTCATCACTGAAAGGGAGTACAAATCACTCTATGACTGGTGCCAGCTGGTATTTCATCATGAAGGGGTTTTGAGGTGGTAATTGGTAGCAGTAAGGAGATCTTTGGGTGTCAACGTACCGTATTGATTAAGGTAGAGCAACGAAGAAGAGCAAGAAACAAAAGATTAGGCGTGGGAGAGAAAGTAGTGGTTTCGAAGCAGAGGAGGAGCTGCTTGAAGAAGAAGAAAAGAGAGAGAGAGCTTCAGAAGCCTCTAGAATTTTATGAGCCTCGTCCCCACAAGCAGGAAAGCGGGGCTGCCTATATCGGCTAGTCGACGCAGCCTCACGGTAGCTTTTATTATATAAGCTGCATTGACAATGGTGATTCGCGAATGGCCTCAGGCACGTCTGGCTTACCTAAGCTAAGGTGTGGGACAGATGTGCATGTCAGCTTGGAGCTTTCTTTCATTCAAGGATCCGTATTCAGATGGCATGTGATGACGGCTGGCTGGAAATTGGGAAGATAGGATGACGTGACCAAAGAGGCTCTGTTACTCTGTTACGCTGTCGACGTTCTTTTGTTACCTGGGTGAAATTTCGATATGTTTACGTAGCTGCTGAATCTGCAGCTGGATATGCAAGGGAGAAGCTCCGATTGGCCGTCAGCTTGGATGAGCACATCGGCAGCCTGGAATGCGCATGTCACCCGATGCATCCGCTTGGCTCTTTCTGCGGATAGATTGGAAGTCTTGAGAAGCTTTGGCCAGTGTTTCTAGAGCGGCCCAGAAGTTGTCAGGCTTTCTTGAGACGTGTCAGGCTACAGATTCTCAACCAGTACACTGACATAGTGTCATAGGGAATAGTTCTACAGCCGGCCGAGAAACCTTGCAACGCGTGGGTATTACATCACTACATCACTATTGCCATTTTAAGTCTTGGCTCGGTTCCTGATTGATTCGTCCTTCTAGAGTTGTCCATGGTGACCTATTCTGGGATGTGCAAGGCACAGACAAGTAAGCGGGCGGAATAGCATCAGACTATACTGGTCTTTTCCCAACGGCGGCATTACTTGCCCCGTGCGACTTTTAGCGTACACAATTGCGTCCCTCTTGCCTCGGAGCTTTTGCGTGTCTTTATTTAAAGGGACCATCTACATGCCTTCTCCCAGCAGTTCATAACGCCGTCTCTCTCTTTTGTTCTCAAGGGCGTCGTTGCGGAGCAACAGATGCTTCATACATGTACGTACGTGTACCCTATATCACCCAGACGTTCACGATTCAGGGCCTGCTTAACCAGTTGCCGAAGACGCAGTTTGATAGTCGCAATGCGTGGTGACTTGTTGCTTATGTCGCCTCTAGTTGAAGTAACTTACTCGAGCCGCTGTCCTACCGTAGGCTTCCCTTAGGTATACCAAGTATATAGGCTGCGCTGGATTGCCCGCCTCGACTTATACTCAGCAATAAGCTCAGCAAGCGGTGGGGCCAGTCGGACAGTAAAGTAATACCGCGATTTGGCCCACGCGCTTCGCAGATAATGTACGATAATCTGAAAGTCAGATTCGTAGACCTGCCGACTATTGGGTCATGGTTGATGCTAGCTTGTAGACCGAGTGCAGCCTTGCTGACCTCCATCGTCCGAATGGCACGCTCTTAAGTTTGGAAGCCAGGTGTCTAAAGTCACGGCTGCGTCCTACATGGCTACGGAGCACTTGCTGCGGACCACCGATGGGTTGACCCTCGAAGGAAACAGCTCATCAACCCCTTTATAATTGATTCCAAAGTGGAAGGGTTTGGGAGTCCTGCTTGCCATGTTCTGCTTCTGCAATCTTGCCAAGGAGGGGCGTACGGAGGTCAAGGGTCGTTATTTATGCCGGCGGTTGTCCGAGTCCTGAACCCACCAACTGCCGAGACAGCGAGGCTGCAACAACGCTTTGTCCTTCGGAAGTAGAAAAAAAAAAAAAGAAAAAAAATCTTCAATGTTGATCTGCCCATCTGTACATTCACAGAAGAGAACCAACAGGTTCTGATAGATTATGCAGAACAATAACGAAAATGTTCAAGTCCCCCCCTCTCCTGTCGCTCCAACGATGCAGAAAGTCTGTGGGGGTGGGAGAGCCGATCTATTCTTGGAGTCTGGATCCCCCAGCGGCGGCTCTGATTGGGCGCTATATTAAGCAACACATGTGGTTCGAATGGCTGCCGGCGCTTAGTAGCGCATTTTGCTGCCTCCAGCCAACGGGAGCCGTTGTTCGGTCAATAAAGTCGCGTCCAAGGCAGAGAAGAGGGCGAAAAAAAAGGCGCGATCCACGCAGGGGCGGTCGCATGTTTAGTGGCAGGCACGGCGTACCGAGTACTTGGTCGGCTGTAAGTAAAGAGTAGAGTCGCCGTAACTTAGTGTTGGCGACGGCATCGATTCTCGGACATCTGCGCAGTTTGTCGGACCACATCACATGCTTGTCTGTTCTTGTCTGCAGTCTGCCTCTTCCGGATGGAGCTGCATCATGCTCTGCACAGGCTGAGACGAACCATATGGAAGACGACACCCGTTTCATAGCCTAAAACGCCAATCAATCTGTAACCAACAGTTGCCTGCACGAATGGCAGGCATTTCGATATGATAAAGTATGTACCGTACTTGTACTCCGTAGCTCTCGAAACGAAGCGGCCCCCCTTGTCGTCACATCCCATCACACGCCTTAGCATTTCCGTCCCTGGCATACAACTGCCTCGTGGAATACCCGAGTACTTGCCTTGGGCAATTCGCGGTTCGATGCTGCATGCTGTGGAATCCTTCAGCAAGCTTGGCGGCCTCCTCTTCGCCGCCTCGAAGCGTCCGGCTGGTGGTAAGGAGACAAGACTCGGTGATACCAGACAGGAGCAGGCATGCGCTGTGCTGAACGCAGCTGGTACGAGGCCCCCAAGTCGCAGGTACCTGAGCCGCCTGGAAGGGATTCGCGCACAGGCGTTGAGGCGCTACAGGCCCCTTGGCGGCACCTCAACGGCTTGGGTTAGCGCGCCGCTTGGACAGGGACCACACAAAGTCGCGCCCAGCCAAGCACATCTCGCCATCACCATCAAACAGGCTTGCGGCGTGCTGCCTCGTCTGTGTTTGCAGCTTTATGCAGTCGGGTGCTTTTTCCCGCTCTTGGTTATCAGCTCGTCCTGATTTCTAGTGCCCGGTCTGGTACCCCGAGGCCACGCCAAA